AACTCCTAGTGTGTGAAGACTAGTAAGAAGGCCGAGTAGTGTTGACACAGGGAGGGAGGGCGTGTTGGTAGTGTGGTAATCTCGTCAGCTGCACCACCCACCCCAGATCCGAGGTTATATGATTACTTACTTAGTTCAATACAGACGTTGTGCTATACGTTGGTCCCTCTAATACCGAACAGGAAGATTTACTATAGTCTGACAAATGTAGCCCTAAAGCAAACGACCTTACTGGAAATAAACATATGATGGCTTTATTGGTAGAATCGTCATGCTGTTTACCTTTGTATACTTGCACTGTCTATGTACATTGTTTATCTGTATTATCTTATATATAATGAATCAATGTAAACTCGCTCTCTCTATTTATCTATCTATTTCGACACGGTTGATTTTATAGCTCCAAAACTTCAGGTTACAATGGTAATTCTGATACGTTAGGCCAAGTTATCATGATCAAAAATATACTACATGGCATAAACGTCTGTGATCAAAGCTTAACGTCATCACGATCATGGTTGTTCAGGATAATTTCAGGGTAGGTAAGGTGTGGGGTGGTGGTGTGAGTAAGCGACCAGCCTACACCTGCCACACCAACACTGAGGATTTGACCACCCGGAGAACAAAAAGCAACACCACGTAGTACCCCTATACCTTCTGGAGCTCGGTTACTTGCTAACTATAAAGGTCCAAGGGTAGTGTGCTGGATTTACTAATAACTGTAGCCGTATGGTATGATTGGGAGAACTGTTGTCATCATTTTCAAGAGGAGCTGAAGTTACAGTAGAGGTTATCAGATAATGGCATAGGCTTAGGGTAAGTGGCAGCAGCTGACGTGACGAGGAGCATGTTCAGGCTATGGCTGAGGTAGTTAGTCGTGGATTCATGGGCCAATCTCCGGTGTGGCAGGTGTCTCTAATGGCTTATTATAAAGGAAAATATCCAGACTTTCTACCCATTTACATATTACACCGATACACACAATAACATTACACACCCTAAGCCAACACTCAAAACTACACCTTATATGCAGGTTGTCATAATTCTTCCTGTAAATATAATGACAATCTGAGGAGTAAAACTGAAGTGTCGATGTTTGTACTGTATATTGTATTACCAGCCTCTCCTGGGTGCTTATCGTGTATGCTGATAGTTTGATACTCGAAAACATTTATGTGGATTTCTGAATTATAATGATCCTGGTAAAGTTGACAGCAGACATCTCGTAAAAAATAACTAACTATCGCCTTTTATTATTAATGTCCCTCAATAATTTACACAATAAAATTCAATATAGGAAAATGTCTGATATTTTGTTAGTAGAGGCGTATTAGTTGCCTTACTCTTGTGTATACTACAATCGTTCAGCTATCACAGAACATTTCGCAAGCACTAGCATAAGGCATACAGTAGAAGAGAACTGAATATTTCTCGTAGATGTGGTAACAGTGAGGGACATTACAGGAAGCAACCTCAGTCATTCCCCTCTCTCACACATCTGCTTTACAAGACGTACGTTTCCCTAGCTGGCCAGACAGTACCTCCCTCAGCCATGAAGGACTCCTTTGTATATCGACCCTCGAGGATGAGGAACTGATATCGTTTCCACGGGTGGAAGGAATAATGTGTCAAAAAAAAATACAAGAAAAACCTTTCAGCACCTTCGTCGGTGATTCCGTTTGTCAGCGGCAGGTCCTTAACCCCGCCCTCTTGTTTACGACGCGGAGGATCCAGTGTTCAATATATATTAAAACAACCTCTCAAAACTAGACCAGCAGAAATGGAAAATCAAAGCGTTATATGTTTGGTTCTAGAGCCAGAGATTCTTTCATTTGTTTTCTACAGATGGTTGAGGAATGTTTAGCAAGTGTTGCCTTACACACGTTGGTTTGGAGGCAGGTCTTGGCTGAGTGGGTAGTAGACTACCAACTATTGGCTTGACATGGAACACCAACACACTTACTTGTATGTGTAGTTTTCATTGTTATATACACACAAAAAATACTCGAAACCAATAACCCAATCAACATAACAAGTGAGGACATACTTACGCTCTTGGTTATTTAGATAAAGCAAGACCGTCCTGTGAGTTGTCAACATACTCGTTGGTGTTGCTTCTTCCCCCTCCCTAAGTTCGGGCAGCACAGTTCCTCCAGCTATGCATGTCTGTACCACAACTTCATCCACCTCACTACACACTGGTAGACGAGCAAATGGTTTTAATGAGGAATAATCATGCAAAAACTTAAGAAAGCGAAATTATCATTAACCTTACGACCATATAGTTGATTAAAGAAGTGTGTGGCTCTGCTCCACCTTACCTTGATACCACCATGTTTAGACGAAGCCAAAGCACCGTAAGGGAGGGATCGGACGAGAATGTTTTGTTATATAAGGCGGTGATATTTGAAGAGTAATTCATTATATCCCTGATTAATAGGAATATGGAAGGGCATAATTTTATCATATCTGCACCAAAATGAGGCTGTCTCATTCTGGTTTAGACTAGTAATCCGTCCATATTCGCACTTATATATTATTACTCTCATACCGACGTCAAACTGAGGCACGTGGAGTGCATTACGGAAGGTTGACAATAAGTAGGAAGCGCTGGGAGTTTAGTATTTGAAAACAACACAAAATAAGAATCGGATGGAGAGGAGTTTTTTATGCCTCCTGCATATACACTGAAAGTTATACTGTACTAGTTTGCATTTGTTTGCCCTCACTTATGAATTTCTGTCCCCATTCTGTGCATTAGTAGGATTTCATGTAAGTCTCCAAAGAAGAGGAATAAAACGCTATTACATACTTTACACTCAACTTTTTAAACCTGAGTAGATATTCAAGATCTTTGACATAATTTTCAATTTTAGATATTTTTTTCATGTTATTTTTACGGTAATGGGACATATTATGTGCTTCACTAACATAACTCTGTTGTGTATTATTATCAGAGAAAGTAAATAAATACGTCGAAAAAGGGATGGTTATCACAAAGCCGCGCCACATTTCCCGCACGTTGTTAGGATGTTAGAACGAAATGTTTTGATATTAATAAAAACTAGTTATTGTTCTCGAATAATATCCCCACCTACTTTTAACGTAACAACTAAGCAGACCCATAAAGCAAGAGGAATATAGTGAGCAACCACTTCCCATTTAGCTTGCTTTATTTTTGTTTGTTAACGTGGAGGTGAAAGTAGAAACGTTGACCTTCAACAGAATAACGTGGCGCCCACCCTCGCCGCCACTCCCCTGTCCCTCACCCCTGGGACCTCACCAGATCCCTCTAGTCCAGGGGAAGTACGGTGGGCGGAGTTTTGCAGTCATGTAAAACCCGTTTAACAGGTTTTGCCATCTACACTTTAGCAATAGCAACTGGAAAAATATTTTATCAAAGTTGAACGATGCTAGAATAGCAGCTTCACAGTAACTGACGAATGTATTAGAGGGGAGGGGTGGGGGCGGTCAAGTAGGGTGGTCATGGGGGACCCATATTACGTAGTTGTTCCTCCCCTCCATTTCTAACCCACCATTGGCTCAGTTTCTGCTGTCACGTGCACCAGAACCGGTCTGTCGCCGCACCCATAAATACCATGAACACCAATATTCACTGATTATATAATTGTTTACAACTAAAACTTTATAAATGTGTACATTACCAACCTCAAATTTCAATCAGTTGTCAAGCTCCACCTCTCGAGTTACTGACTGTTACTGCCATTTGAGGAAGTATGCTAGATGCACACACAAGACCCGCACCATGACTGTTCCGTTTTTCGCAATAACTATACTATATGATATTTGTTAATGTGTGAGCATATACATAGAATTTATCACTTGATGTTTCTCTACGAATGTCGTAAAGAAATATTCTACTCAATGCGTTCTCGTATGATGCATGTCAACACATGTTCGTAAGTCAACAGTTCATTCCTTACTCTTTTAGTAAAGCTCTTGCTAAAATCACATGGCGGGTGCAGGGTCGCTCTGAGGTTCCATAGTAGTGTGATCTTTGATTAGAATTCATATTGGTTCATACAAGGAATAGTTCAACGATATCTGATACCTTGTAAAGTTCCCGGTCTCGCCGAATGTCAACAAAGGAACTCATGCTTTTATGCCAGTTTAATACAAAGTTACATGAATTTTAAATCAACTATTCTTATCCGACAAACCTAACATTGAAGTATCTCGGATGAACATACCCAACCTACTTACCTGTCTGTGTAGGCAGTTTACAGATGCATATGGCGCTTAAGTCTCATAACTTGTACTTCTTGTTCTTGTATCATCAGTACCATTACACATATTGGAGTCATGGAAGCGAATACAGGATACTTCATTATAATGCCATATGCCTAGGGTACTGTTGCCGCTTGCCGGAAATTCACTTGTCTTATTCGAATTCGACACACGTAAAGTTGTGAACAATCTAACTAGAGACGGTGCACTGTGAATGGACGACTGGTAGGCAGGAGCAAGTATACATTTTATTATTATTATTATTATTATTATTATTATTATTATTATTATTACCTGTATTATTATTTCGTATTATATTGTGGTCGTTGGTAATATTGACAAAGTTTAGTGAATGTTATTCTCAAAGAGAACTTTTTTTCTTTTTTACACCAGGTTGGGTAATGTTTCTTTATAATATATTGGTACAGTATCTTATATAACAACTTTTGATCGAACTTGAACATATAAAGTTACCAACATAGCATAACCAAGCCCAATATAAACAGTGGTATACAGTAATTACAACAGGATGCATAAATGGGGGGAGGGGTCATTCAAACCATATGCTAATAGATAAATTTGGCAAATGCTGCCTAAGAATAAGATATACAGAACTGTAGGCTTCTTTGCAGCCTTTGGCTCAAGGGAACCTCAGCAGCCTTTACTCCTCAGACTTAATTGAAAGCTTCTGGGTTTCGATGGAAGAGGTCATGATCAAATTTAACATTAATACATATTACCTTGTTTTACAGGCCCAAACACCTTTCTGGCGGAAGAAGATGCGCACTCACCATAGATTGTTTGACGTAAATAAAGACGGCGTTGTGTCTTGGGACGACTTCGAAGCGCTCATCGGCAAGTTCAAAGAGCTTGGACACCTCTCACCAAAAGAAGTTGGAAAATTAACTGATGCTCTAAGAGTGAGATGATTTTAAGTTTTATTTAAATGGTATGATATGAAGTAACCAACCGCTCTGAAATATTTTTCCACTATTTCAACAATGTTTCGTGTATTTCTTCATATTCTTTGATAGTTGAGTTCATTAGAAATCATTTAACAGTGGCAAGATTTACAAGTTAGTAGTAAATGAAACTGAACACTGGCAGGATTTACAGGTTAGTAGGTAAATGAAACTGAACAGTGAGCTTGTAAAGAAGTGTGCTATCACGTGGTTGCAGCATGTGTGGGAGGAGGAATGGGGAGCTTCTAGTGATCCCTACATCTTCATCGGGCAAGAGCAGTTCCTCTCACAAATGGAGCACGTCATCAACACCAAAGAACTCCGCAAGAGAGTTGCCAGTCCCCTCCCATATTTCTTTAAGGTGCCACATATGAACTGATCATCCTCTGCTTCATTATAAAAAGTTTCTTATTTTTTTTCACCAAATCATTTGAATATAAAAATAAACAGCATCTGAGATAGATTTGACAAAATACTTTATAGCAAACTGAGTTCCATAATAAATTAAACTTTGATCTGATACTATTGTTGCTATCAAGTGTGCTAATACATGATGATATTTACACAGGCTGTAGACACTGACGGGAGTGGGGAAATATCAGTTGCAGAGTTCAAGATGTTCTACGCTTGCCTCGGTCTTTCAGAAGAGGTATTATTACTTTTTTCCACTGTATGATGGAATAGGCAGGTAGACATGACACTATCTTTAGAAAGGAAATATACTGTAAGTGATAAATAATCCCAACTCAAGCTAGACCTAGTAGGCCTAGCTTGTGTATGGACCGGGCTTACCTAATACTTCATGGATAAGAGAGATGAAGATAATATGCAGGAAGAGGTGACACGAGAAAGAATGAACTGTATTGTCACTGGAATTCTAAGGAAGGGGGTGATGACTGGATTTCACTGGTGCTCTGCAGTAGTGTACTGTACTGAGGGTCTGCATCACCCTGGGGCAAAATAAATTTTTATGCCCCATCCCTTTTATGCCCCCATCCTCCCAGTTTCAATTTAACACCTGTAAGCAATTATGGGCAACTTTTCGATTTTTAATAGTTATGATTTTACAATACAGTATTTTGTGTTTGCTGAGTGAGCTGGTCATCAATTTGGTGCCACTACTCATTAGACTGCCCAGGTGAGTGTCCTCCCCCTATACTTAGGTCAATATACCACAGGTGCCTTAGTCATAGAAATAATGGTAGGAAACAAAGTGAAGAGACATCATCTGACATGAAGGGTAGGTATATGGCAAGTGAGGAACTGATTATTGATGAGACATGTAAGGTGAGTACAGTATCTTATACAGTATATGTTTCTATATTTAAACTTATAAACTCCTTGAATCTCACATGACACATGGTCTTACAGGCTGCCACTGAGTCCTTTGCAGCCATCGACATTAATGGTGATGGGAAGCTAAGCATGAAGGAGTTCATCAAGCTGGGCAGAGAGTATTTCCTTGCTGAGGATGAGACCCGGCCCAGCAAGCTCTTTTGGGGTCCCCTCTCAGAATGAAATCTCCCCTTCCAACATCTGCATGACAAGGATCCTGGGATCATACTCCCATTCAGTACAGAAATATGTTAACTATAACTGATCCAGGAGAAATAAATCATGATGCTGTATTACTCTTCTAAGGATGACTTATTGACTGGAAATGCTATACATTATATTAATATGTACAGTATCTAGGGAAAATGTGATAATATAACATTTGAGAATATTTCCTTAATGACTGGCTTACATGTGGGAAAGATGTGCTGTGACAATATTGTAGAGGAAATATTTCCCACTGGCTTATTTATGTATTGCTGACTTATTTAGGAACATTGTTTTGTACAGATTATTGAGGAAAACAGTTTTATAGTATAGTGTTTTCAGGGGTCAATCAGGGAAAACTCATCTCATTGTGTTTTAGGGGCTTTATCCAGGGAAAATATGTAGTGTGATGCAATTTTTTTTATATAGATACAGAAGAGAATAATTTCACATGTGTGAGAATGAGGCAGACACTTGCTAACGTTTCTAAGTTCACCTTACTGATTATTGTGTATTTTTTATCTGAAGTACACCCTGAGGTGTTATTGTAGTACTGTAGTTATAACATGTTTATAATCATTTAATGTATGAACCTTAAACTATTATATAGTGAAAGCTTAGTACAATAATTTTATATATTGTACTGTACTGTACTTTGGGGAGGAAGGATAGGCATAAAATTATTATACAGTAAAAGGTCGATTGCATGGGTCATTGCCTCATTAAGCTAGTACATACAGGTACACTCGCCAAAAACTTCTCAAACGCTATAAGCACTAAGCAATCTGAAAAATGAACGAAGAATCTGAAACCACTCCGAGATGACAAGCCCCATTCTGCACAATCTTGGATCCATTGTGTTTGAGAAGTTTATGTTGAGTGTACAATAATATTCAACAATTCTCCACTCTTTGTCTGTTTTGCTTATTATTCCCATACTTTTTCCTCATCTTTTCCTAATTCTCTGAGAAATTTCACTACACAATATGGACATATAAAACAGATATGAAAGGATCATTTAAAGTTGTGAATTTAGTCATTAACGGTATAACAAGCATCTGGTAGAAGACTTGCTATAATACATTAATGTAAATGTAACGGCTTTGTAGTATATCTTGTAGATTAATGTGCATAAAAATGGATTATTTAATTAAAACTGTAAAAATTAATCTTCTTCCATAATTCCTTTTGTTACCAGTACTGAGGCACTATTAAACCAAGTGTGTTTCTTGGTGAACAACATGGGAGCATATCCAATCACTGATATACAGTATTTGGACATCTGTACTGAATATAATTGTCGTGCAAACTCTCTAATCAAAAACACACTATGTTTATTTTCACTTACCAATAAAATAATACAAATATAAATTATTCTAAAAAAGTAATATTATCCATATCACATTTTTGGTTTGGCTAATAATCTCTCAAACTCATTTCATTCCTGACTGAATGGGGTGGAACAAATCCATCAAGATTTAAAGGAAATTCCCCAGAAGTGTAAAGTCGAGTACGAAAGAGTGAGTCAAGACCTCCACAATGCTTGGATGCATCATACCATTAATTTTTCTTAAACTGCATTATTCATTATGTGTCTTATTCTCTATGCTGCTCATCTTTATGTTCTTACCTATCAATTCAAAATAGAGGTTCTGCCCTTAAAACAAGTCATTGTAGAATAATTTCTGCATAACTACAGCCACAGCTAGGTGGGTCTGGCCCAAGTAACCCCAATTCAAGGCAGCTGAGATTAATCCAAAGATTAGCCTACTACCCAGCAGCAACTGTCACCCTCAAAAGAGGAAGTTTAAAGGCTGAGGTTACCCTAGAACTGTCATTAAAATGTGACATCACACAGCTCACTACATAAATGTAACCCAGTTGTCGAAGCAACATACCACATTTGTATTACTAAACCCTCACCCACCCATTCAGCCAACCTCCATTATTACCTCATGCAATTTCAGGAGGTTTCATGTATCAGTAGCAAATCTAGATGAAAGGGTAAAAAGAAGCTGCAAGTGTCACTTGATGGACACCCTCACAAGGAGATTGCTCTATGTACACAACATGAGAGCCATAGGAGAAACTAGCCTTACAAATCCCTACTTCACCTATGGCAGTTATGGGCAAGTCTGGAAAAAGATTGTTGCAAAGAACTTCAGTGAGATGAATTTGTTCAAAACCCTTTTGAAATGTTGCTTCTGAATGGTGGTATTGAGTCTGTTGATTGACTATAACAGAATGAATGCAAAGTCCCACCAGAAAGTTTAATAGAGTAATAATCCATGAAGAGACTCATACACTTTCTGTTTATATATATATATATAGGTACAAGTGTACTTCAAGGGGAAAATGTGAATTGCTATATTCAAATGATCATAACTTATTTTCAAAACTTCAAAATAATCAGCAGTGCTAATTGTAAATGCATACTGAACAGGTATATAATTAATGTAACTCCTCATTCATCCACACTATTGGGGGGAGCGAGCCTGAATCAGCCAACAGACTATTAAAATAAAATAAAATATTATACAGTACAGTACAGTACATGTAAATGAAGCATAATAAACCTATAAAATCTAAAACAGTTTGTATGTTATATTAAAGCCACAACCACCCAATGCTGGTAAAAAAAAACAGTATAATACATACCTAAACTTTTAACGAAATTTTTGGCAGCATACTGAGGCTCAGCACTATGAACACCAAACACCACGTGAACGACGCTGTACATGACACTTGAAAGCAACTTCTTCTAGTTATGTGTCTTTCAGTTGTTTCAGTCATTCTTCTTCACAGTCCCTGTACAGTATTACCAACACTGACATCAAACTTTAAGGCAAATTTCTCTACCTTTAATTTTCTTTTTACCAGACAGTGTTTATATAGTGACCTTCTCTATGATCCTTACCTCAGCCACACCACTTTCAAGTTCCTCATAATTTTAAACTTTTCTGCAACAGTTACAAATATGTTTATTTTTATTTTCACTTGTTTCTATGTTTGCATCTATTTTAAGTAACTGATATCAAAGGGTCATGCTAGGCTGGACCTACTCTGGATTAAGTAATGTCCGGACCAGCTGGGTCTGGAATAGTGTAGGATTACTGTAGGTATGTGAATCTGTTAATTTCAAACCTTGTTTATAAACAGGAATTTCATATCCAGTCCTTTATTCTTTGGGAGAACATGTCCCCACTATGTGTACTCAGCAAATCACATACCAAACAAATTCTTATTAGTTAAAAAAAATTATATAATTCTATGAAAGGTATGAACAATAAACCTGTAAAATCAATTTGTAAAAGTAAAATTTATTCCTGTAATATTGCATTGAGAAATATTTTTAAGCGACAATCAACCTCAAATTCATTTCAGATATATACAGTACAATCAATCCTGAACAAAATATTCAAATCATACATACAGTTCAGTAAAAAGGAAGAACTAAGAATCAAAGACAGTTTCTGTGGCAAGATCTGCTATTAACAATAAAAAAGTGGCATAAAATTAAAAAATATATATACAGTATGGTAAACCTCCACTATATCACGGTAATGTGTCCCTAGGCCTGTAGCTGTCACAATGTTGTTTACCTTGTTATATGTTGACCATAATCCTAAGAAAACAAGATCTGTGATATTGGTGATACTTAAACTTATACCAGTAGGGATATTTGAGTCACCAATACCATTATTTTTTTCCTAACCGGTATTAAATGAATGTACTGTACTGGGTTCACATAGCCCGCCCCACCCTGGTTAGCTTGTAGCACACTAAAATCATCCACTGTGGCACAACACAAAACAGAATAGAATCATCGCCATGTAGGATGATGTCTGGTTGACTTTATAGGTAGGTAGGGCTGGTAAGGTATGCACCGAGGTAAAGGGGGTGACCAAATCAGGAACGATCAAGTAACACTTCCCACACATGGGGGGGGGAGAGGGTTAAGCCATTAAGCAAGGTTTGTTAATGTAATCAAAAGTTATAGGTGTGTGAAAGGACATGTGTGTGAGAGTGTAAGTGGGAGGTGTTTGTAGAAGGGATGGTGTGTGAGCATATCACGTGCTATCAATTGAAGAGAATGGTATAATATTATGCTGTAAGTGATAGTGAGGGAGGTTTTGTAAAGTTTGAGAATACACGTTTCTTAAGCTCATGGTTGGAAAACTCAACCTTTTGCTTCCATTGTTAAAATACATCTTATTTAATAACTATCATTTTCAAATACCTGTACTGTACTGTACAAGTAATTTAAAATGAAATAAAAATTCTGTCATGGGGACCTGTGATTATATGATCACAAACACAATATCAGAAAGTTGAAGAGTTGCTGAGTTCCCGTAGTCTGTGATAATACGCACACCTCTCCGCAATATGAAAATACGCTATCTAAATACTGTAGTTTGTCCTGAAATAACAAATTACACGCCTCAAGGCCATGACATAGTGGGGGTATACTGTGTGAACTTGCTTTATTATAATACACCATAACAGTACTGTATAAGTATAAATATGAATCTCACAACTAAAGACTTGAGCTTGAACTTATGACATAATTTGTATCTTGGATCATTAATGTTATTTGAAAAAAAAAGTATTACTAAGTAACCAATTAATCCACTAAGCCCCTTCATAAAATAAATTATTATAATAATAATAATAGAAGGGATGCATGGTAACTTTAAAGGCCTTTATATTACCTCATTCTCCTGGACTCTTAAAGTTTGGAAATATTATGACAAAACACAAGTGCCTTTCATTTGTTTAATTCATCCGGGTTCTTCTACTCTTGTAATCCTTATCATAACTGTAGATCGTGCTTTACTTGGTTTACTCGCTCCACCAGAATGGACAGCTTCTCACCCCTGAAGATGTTAGTGATTGTATTAAACATATACATGACAATATTCTGAAGAGTAATGTTTCCTCTTACAACTTTTAATTATAATATACCCTTTGTGACATACTGTATACTGTATGTCTGCAAAATTTTATATTTTCCCTTTTCATCAAAACAGGCTGCCCCAGAGGCCTAATGTACAATCTAATATGGCAAGACTCAAGTAGTACAGTAAATAATAACAAGAAACATGACAGTACCGTATATTACTTTTTGAGAAAACAAGGTCTAAATATAGTTCTCTGAATATACATATATCCAACAGACTAAACTAAGTTGCAGAAAAACCTGAGGCAAATTTCAGAAATACTTACTCAATGGTCAAAGCCTGTTTGAGTGCTTTCAGCTGATTTTCAGACACACTGGATACTCTCTGGTTTTTAGATGCTTCTGTATTCTGAAATTTCTCTTTCTGAGGAAGAAACAATATTTGGTTAGAAACAAAAAAGAACTCCATAACAAAACCTCATCTTATGTTTTCTTTTGGCATAAACTTGTATCAAGAAAGCAGTCCAGGTGTATGTTCATTTTAAAAAGCTGTATGTATAAATATATACAGGAGGTATATATATTCTAAGCAGAGGACTCCTCCAACAAAAATTTTATTCTTAATTATCTAAAACACGGATACAAACTGTAAAGAATAGTTGCATAAGTACAAGACCAAAAGAGAAGAATAAAATTTTATGCTTGTATATAAGTAAGCTGTCAGGAACGATAAAATATGTTCCGCAGAGTTAAAAGAAAATAGGGAAATAAATATCGAAGGGTGAAAATATCCCTGACAATTAAAGCACTTAAAAAGTCGAGATTTACCGATACCGATACTTAGAAATGGCCGATACTTTGCCAATACTGATACTGTATTACTAAATTGCACAATTGCAATAATATTAATAAATACACAATACCGGTATGCTATTTAGATGACACACAAACTCTATAACAATAAGACATTTAATTTTATGCAATATAAGTACTGTACAGTATATAACAAATATTATAGTAGTAATCAAATTTACAGTACAGTACAGTTTTTACAAATTTGTAAAGCTCGTTTAACACTATCAGTTTCAAAAGCATGCAATAAAACCCTTAGATGTTGGAATTATATTCCAACATTCCCTTATTACTGTGTTATTTATTTATTTTAGAAGAGTGTGGAATGCCCTAAAGAAAATCCCTCTAACTAGTAGTTCGGAAACTCATCAGTGCTTCCACATCTTGAAATTCAATTTTCTTGATCGGGTTATCAAATTTCCTTGCATTTCCTTAAAAAATATTAAATTTCCTTTTAACTTCCTTCGATGAAATATTTCCAGTGAAAAGAAAACCAAATTATTTTTGTAGAGCAAGTATGCCAGACACTGGTCCCAAGTCTCCTGACCCCCGGGGCCCAGTGCCAAATAAATTAATAATCCCTATACAGGCAGTCCCCGGGTTATGGACATCCAACTTACGAACATCCGCCTACAATATTTTACTCGTACGTACTGTATTTGATTCTGGAGATAGGGGTGACTATCCCATGATATAAATGAAGATGGTAACTTTCCTCAAGATCTGAAAACCGTATCTAGTGAATCTTGGGGGAATTTAAGTAACGAAAATGAGGAATATACTGGCGGTGATATAGTAGCTTACACGAGCCACATGTCTACCCTTGAGGCTCCCACATGGGACTGGAGTGATTCTTTGCTTGTTCATCCCAGACCTCTGAACTTTGATGGTGAAAATCAGAAGTTTATGAAAAGATTAAAATGTTTTTAAAAAACTTTTCTTCAAAATTTCCACATCCAGAGGGTAATGACCATGAGTTGCCCCCACTGTCCTCAATGGTTTAAGTTTGTGGCGTTAACCTAGACAATTACTGGAATAAGTATATGGTGCACATCTTTAGTATTGAAATAATAGAAAGTATGAGGTAAATCATTTTGTTGCTACACTTATGATTATTTGGAGTATGTAGGAATATTTTATTAAAATTATTGAACAAGCATAAAAAACAATGTAGATTTCAAAAATATTTCCAAGACTGATCTCAAACATGAAACCTCAGCACTTACCATGTATCAATCACAGATTTTGATTATGATAAACCTCACCTGATTTGTCTGCCACTTGTCTTTAGCTTTAATTTGGGTTAGTTCGTTCATTAAGCTGGATATATGACTCTGCATGGAGTCCAGTTCATGCTTCATATTTTTCTCTCCCCGAGACAGCATTGGTAAAGCTCTCATAACTCGGCTCAACACTCGCTCTATTCTAAAGGTGAAATTCAAACATCAGTGATTGCACAGTCTGACTCACTGCTAACACCATCTATCTGTCTGTGTGTGTGTGATCTGAAGGATAGCCACATGCAGCACCTTCCTTATAATCATCAGTCACTGACTTCAATACCTTTTAACAATGCAGTAACATTTTAAACCAGGCTGGGGAAATTCACATACTGTACTATAATTGACTATCTACAGAAGTTGAAGACTGCGTGATTGAATTTTTCACTGCCAACATTTGATTTAAAAAAAAAAATCATTCATCCTTGGAAAATCGACATGAAATGCAAAAGAACATTGGCAAAATACGATGACACTATGCAAAAGAGACATAAAATGTAAGGAATGATGCTCAAGATCTATGTTTATGACTTGGGCTCTCGGCAAATGAACCAGCTCCAAGGTTAATCACAGTGTACCTGTTCATTTGCCGACTTTTATACCGACTACTGGACCAAAGTCTGATAAGGTAGGTTGCTGTGGGTGCAACAATTTACTCATATCTAACAGGACAGTCTTACTACCACAGAGCAAAGATATGGGGTGTTTGAATGGTGTAATCTCAGAGGTGTTTGTCATACAGTAGCTAAATATCCCAAAGGCCATAAAAGAAACAAGACATATGTTACTAAAACTATCACAATACTCAAGTGTGGTTTTTTCTTCAATGCATTATATATCACGTGAGTGTGATTTAATTCATATAATAAAGATGTAAAGATTAAAACAGGATAAGTTCAAAGTACAAGAATAGTGTAAATGTTCACTAACAATCAAGGAATAATGAACACACCTTTCAACTAAATGGATCTTCTTGTCATTGGATTCCTCATACCTTTCCGCTAAGTCATGGGCTTTTTCTGTTAGCAATTTTTTTCTAGACTGTAAATCATCTATTTCAGCTTGTAGTCTCTGTTTCTGTTCAATCAAAATATCTGACCTGTAAATAAAAAGATGATGAAATTAATATACATTCTACCCATTTCTGATCCCCCCCAAAAATATAATCGTCTGAACAAGGTGCTGTGAATCCCTTTCCCTTAACTACAGTATTCTGATATATTTCCTACTGCAATATTTCTACTGCCGATTGTTGGCAGTAATGAAAATTCTAATCGTAATAAATCTGAGTATGTCACACAATCAAAAGTCTATTTCTTGGGAGCTGACTGATAGGAGGAGGGAAGGTTTCTGAGTCACCAGGCTTTGGACTCCTCTAGAAAAGGAATTCAGAATCAATCTTCCATTTCTAGTTATTCACGTCTCGCCAGGCATCTCTCATGATTTAAAGCCAACTAAAACCAGAGGTAGAAAGATATGTTATCAATATTTAATAATTGGACAGCCATACAGTACACATCATCATCCCAATGAGCGCTGATCCTTTGTGTTCACTGTGTCAGGAGATTTGTCTCCCTTGGGGACAACACACCAAAGTCTAGTCCCCAAAACACAATAGCTATATGTCCTGTCCAGAAGAGGGAGGGAGAGAGAGAAAAAAAATAACTATCCCTCTCTCTGAGAAGTGAATTGTGTGTATATTATACCGATAAGAAATAAGATTATGAAAAAAGTGACAGCATTACAATGCCAATAATCTGTGGTAATTCATCAATATATTAACCTACAATTCTGAAATGACAAAGGAAACAACCTTGGTCTACATTCACCAAATAAAGAACTGAACTGTTAATGGTGTAGAAAGGTGCCTTCCATTAAACATGTTGGTCAAAGCCAGAAAAGAATAAGAAGATGTTTCAAACATAATCAGGTGAGAAAACCAAACCAGGCCAAAGGAATAATGTAGATATAACACACAATAAGTTAGAGAGGCCAACACTACTGCTGTAATACTCCCCAGCCCTATACAGTATGTACTAAACTAAGTACCACTTATATCAAGGTACTTGTTCATAGTAAGATTAAAGGAATGTGTTCCAGACACAATACTGTATAGTTGCCCTAAAAACATGAGACAAATACAAATATAATTCCTTGAAATTGTACACACTAGGCTAGGGGAGCCCCACAAAGTGATAAATTGTAAAACAATAACAGGCTACAACTGGTTCAGTTAATGAATGCTATATCCCACAAGTCTTGACAAGTTCCTTCATAATTCTTCTTGAAAAAAAAGATGTCTTAAGCACTGGTAGTTACAATTTTCAGCCACAGCCAACAATGCTACCCTGGGTACAAATTCTTCATGAACAAAGCCAATAATAAAGGCCTCAGTAACTAACATTCCCTCATAGTGCTACATCATATTCTTATATGATGCATTTGCTAAAACACTGAAAAGTCTAGCAATACTGTACAATATACAGTACCGTATTTTGGTGTTATTACACAAAAGTGGATTTGCTAAACCCAGTTAAGTACACAAGATGCCCGACTTACTGGAAATACAAACTGTAAGTTCCACCAACTTGGTAACTAACAAATTTGGAAAGCCAATGAGGAACCTTAAGTTTATACTGTACCAACAAAAACGGAGTTTTGCAACTCTGTAGAAAGTTTATTCCCCCTAAATATGCAGATTTATTTCAGGTCTCTCATGAGGCTCAGAACACCATAAAATTGCTAATAATACTCCCATGAATAAAATACATTATACAGTACATAAATGTTACGTAAATCCATTAACTCATAAAAATAATTCACCAACAGATTACTCTCTATGCAGTTGAGTTATTTATCTTAAATGAATAAACAAACTAAAGAGATACCAAGTAACACAATATTCAGGAATAACAATGGGATATGAAATGTTTAAAACCAATCTTTAACCCAAAACTACCTTCTCTGTATGTCCACTCTGGCAGCTCGTTGAGGTTGCATGTAGTTTGTTCTAAGTGTTGCTGTTATACGGTTAAGGAGATTCAGGTACTCGCCAGGAGTCACCTCGGAGTTAGAACCTGAGGCTAACAGTGGCTGAGATGATAAACGGTGCAAAATACTGCGAATGTGATCCTCAAAGTTCTCTGTATGGATCTAATGGAAACAAATAATTAGTTAGTGCTGTACCTGAGTGGATGATGCTGGTCTACAATTAGAACTTTGTTATGAACCTAATAGCACTGAAATACATTACTGTTTAGGCAGAATGGTTCATACTATAGCACCCTGTACTGAACATCGAAGGCCTCTTGTAAAGTTGTTATGGTATGGTTATTTGCTTAATGCTATCACCTGTATCCTAAAGCTACTTTTCATACCATGAATTTTAGCACAGTAATTTGGTCTATCTTAATTTTCTTGTAAAAATGCTACCAAAATAGATTATTTTTTATTTGACTGCAGATGTGTATCACCCACACACACTCCATGGTTAACTCAGTTCTCCCGTGTGCAGCACCACCCTCCCCCTCTCACTCCACCTAGTACATAGCACGGAAAGGGAGGGTGCTGTAGCAACTCAATATTTTGGGTATTAGATGCTATACATTGCACCACAGAGTATCTAGCACACCAGAATTCACATTCAGCACCCCCTAGTAAAATTTGGTTCCTGTGGTACTGACCCAGTAACACTTAACTTCCTCCCCCATTCATGTCAAGCCACTGTAAGCAGAAAGTCTCCACTTTTATGGTAAATCCAATACTGTAGACTTTATTTAATTTACAGTGCAAACCCATTTATCCCAATTCAAATTATATGAATCTTCCAGGTATCTGAACTTTCTTTATCCCCTTTGGTCCTGGTCAGTAAAATTTTTAATTTAGTCCATCAATCCGAACGCAACTAAAGTCATTCATTTGCGTGTCTGCCACCAGTAGCACTGTAACTGCTTTGTCAACAAAAAATGCTATGATAAACAATAAAATTGATACATAGCATATCATAAAATATAATAACACATATTTTATGTACAAAAACTAATTCCTTCCACTCAAACCATCCTCTGGATGATGCCACACAATTCAGTAAGGCAGTTAACCAGCTGACTCTGAGATGTGTGTATGTCTACTCGAAATTACGAATTCAAAAATAACTGCTGTGAGTGCTAACTCTGGCTTTTCAGGGTCTCAGGAACAGAACCTATTTTCCCCAAAGTTATTAATATTGATATAAGATCGATCACCTTACGATGGCTTTTTAAAGTTCCTAATCCCATCGTATAACGGTGAACACATGTACACTGTAGCATGAAATTTTTGTAAAAACTCTACAGGGAGCCATTCCTTAACTAATAATGTAGTACAGGTGTCCACGAAGAAGTACAAAGGTGTAACAGCATCTGGATGAATTCCAACTTACTCATTCACTGAAGGGTAACAAACTGTGTATATTAAGGGAACCTCCCTACTAATATCACCCATTAAAAGGATAATCTAAGAACCATGAAGATTCAGATAGGATATTGTTTTCTAAGAGTATGTCTTCCCCATGGGAGAAATAAAGCAGACTACAAAAGTTAACATATAGATAAATGCATAGGTCATTGTAATACACCTCCAAATTTGCTGTTAAATAAATGAGTGGCTCATACCCCAACAACTAGTACTGTACCTTTCTCAGAGGTGACAGAGCAAGAGTATAATCTGTATGAGGAGGATCCATGACTAGTGGCGTAAAACCTGCAGGAATGCCAATGGAGATGATCCTGCCTGAAGCCAGAAGAACATAGAGGTTATGGGTAGAGTTAGCTACCAAGCCCACCACTGGCATGGGGCCAGCTGCAGTGAGTGATCTTGTGCAAACCAGATGATCCACCATACACAATGACTCACTAGAAGAAAAAGCTGCATCTGAAAAAGAAAGTAGTAATAAAAAAATGTGAATTAATTGTACATGCGTGTTGACAATTAAAGCAAATAGTTATGAAATTCTTTTATTAATGAACTTTCCTTCAGGAAGAAACTTCTATTATAATATATTAAACTATATAATGGGGCTACATAGGTAATTTAAAACAATTATTCTGAGGGTTCTAAGGAGAGAAAATGAATTTATTAGTGATGTACAAAGGACTACACATGCATGAGAAGCTTTCCAAAAGAAGGGGCTATGAAGCCGAGGCAGAAAGAAAAAGTGTGGCTCATAATAAAGAATTAAGTACTGGTATATAAAAATGAGAAAACATTCATGAATCCCTTAATAAATCTTCCTGAAATTAAATAAATTTCAAAATGAATTGCAGATACTGTACTGTACTGCTGTATTCTTACATTATTACAGTCATAAACTGTCTATGAAATAAGCACAACCTAAAAATCAAATTAACATCCCTTCTCCAGAAAATAGAAGAGGCTTACATATAAAAAAAAGGGGGGGGGGGGTGCAGGCAGACTACCTAAAAATAAACTTTCTTTAATAATTACCAAACATTTGAGACAAAAGACTCACCATCTGGCAGGTCAGTGTACTGGAGAAGATGCTCAATAATGGGAACAGTAACTCCATGGACACCAGCTTCATGGCTCACCCAGTACCTGTCATAAGTACATTACGGTAATTAAGAAAGTCACCAGAGGCACATGTTCAGACACACTCAGCGGTCTGTACATGCTCAGTACTTGCCGTAATGAGTAGTCAAAAAGTACACAACTACCTGAACTGCTGGTACGCTCCCAAGCCCTTGTTATTATACTGAAATTCCAATTAGCTTTCTTCCACCGTCCTGTTTAAAAACAATACAGTATACAGTACAGGGTACACTCCTACCCTTGAAAATTAACAAGTGAAATCAAGGATCATTTAACCTAGTGCTCTCCTCATTTCTTTCAATTTCTCAATAAAAATATCCACTACATAAGCACTCTTAATTTTTTTTATTCTAGATTATAATCACCTATGTGCTACAAATACCACTCTCTTTAATACCAGTTTATACGGTAAAAAAAAATGAGAAGATAATCCATTGTAAATACAGTAGTTCGAATATACAAGTATTAAGGAATATGGTTATTTACAGAGAATGTTTAAAAAATAATTAAAAACTTCACATACCTTGTGGGTGTGGAAGGATCTGGATGGAGTGAGAGAGGTGCAGTGAATCCTTCATCATCTGGCACCAGTGATAATTCCAATTCAACTGTCTCATATACATGAAGTTTCACTGCTGCTGGTACACCAGATTGAGATCCATAATTGGACATGTTATTTTGAAGCTGAAAATCAAATTATGGAAATAAAAATCAAATTAAATACTGAAAAGCAGAATCAATGTACAGTGAGTTCTCCTATAACGCGTGTTTTGACAACGCGAATTGGCTCTAACGCGATTTATGAATAGAGGAACGATATTTGCATAACGCGAACGCTTGTTTGCTGTAACGCGATTTTTGCTTACTATTTCTCCATTTTTGTGGTATTAACTGCGAATATGGGAAAGAAGAATATCTCCAAGAAGCGTTCTGGTGATCGCATTCCCAGTGATGATCGTAAAAGAAAGGCTATAACCCTTGAAGAGAAGCTCGATGATATATCAACCTCAAAATCACCCTTCTCCCCCATCAAGTTATATTCACATTTTTTCAAGGTAAAGTGTTACATTTACTGTATGATTTCATTATTAGATATGAATGTAACATTAATTTAGACTGTGCTATCCTTTGTGTTAGGCTAACTACTAAATTTTTTTCGATTTCGAGTAGTAATCTGCACCTAACCCTATTTTCTCCATAAGCCCTGTTATTTCTATTACGCGAATTTCTATAACACGATGTTTTACAAGAACACAACTATCGCGTTATGGCAGAACTGACTGTATTACTGTAGGTAAAACATAACAGATCAGATAGCTGTGCCTGTAAGTTACACACAGCCTACTACCTACACTAGCTTAAAAATTTTACCTAAAATTAAACCAGGGAAACCAAAAATAGGATACAGTGATATACCTTTGGTGTAATGCAGTAATACTTATCAAAATGAATGTGCAAGTGAAGTTTCTTAACTGCTTGGCAGTGTTGAGAACAGTCAGCTTATGACCCATTGGATCACTAATGAAGAACTGAAGTATGAGTTCCAATTTTATGATCAAAAAAAGACAGAGTACTCTGGAAACTCTCCCACCTCCCTTAATGGTGTTCTAAATCAGTAGAAATTTAAAGAGGAAATACTGTATAAACTTTCTTTCATGGCTAAAGAGGGGATTCTGCATGACTCCTCAAAATCAAAGTTGAGTGAAGAATACAATAGAGTATCTCCACCAAATAGCCAAACCATCAGTGCATTAGTTTGAATGTGGAGGGGAGGTGAGCCAGGGGTAGGCCAAGACTGACATGGGGAGAGGTTGCAAGTAATGACATTAAAGTGCGGAAAATGGTAGTAAAAATGTTGATGGTGATGACGATGAATTGCTTCAGGATCCTGTAGTTTCCACATTGAAATGCACCACTTTTACCCTTGTAAGGATCCACAATCACACTATTCAGCCTCACAGGTGGAGCAATACATTTCATCATAATTGCATTAGTCAACCTCTCTTCTGGCCCTGTACTAGGCCTCCAGGTACTCATCCTTACCCATTTTCAGGCCCTTACAGTCTTCTTTTCTCCTTTATCACTCTGTTCACTTAATCATTTCACCAACAATATAGTAACTGAGACTTTAAATGTATTTCTGTTAATTTGAAAGATAAGAAAATCCAATATTAAATCAGTTTACTTACCAGTGAGCCAGTGTCCTCATTTAGGTCATTGTCAACCACAATACAATGATGGAGCTGGCCTGTTGTGGTCGCTATAACCAGCACTGGTGGTGATGACTGCAAGACCAGGAGGCTGCATGAGTCTAACCCATAGTTGTCATCACAAGCTGGAGTCATGCTGAGAGGGCCATGAAGCTTATGCAGGTGAGGTCTAAAAGGTGTAATGTAATGAGAAAAGGGATTAGCAACTGTTCATATACTGTATACTGTAGATAACCATAGGTTTTACAGAGCTACATGAAACAGCCCTGTTAGGCAACAGGATAGGACATGTGGGACTGTATACCTCTACTGTATACAGTATACCCTGTAGTATTTAAGAATATTAGCAACATATAAAAGAGTTTTCTTTAACTTAAGAAAAATGCTACTCTACCTATTTGTGCCAAGCATTGTGATGGTGAAGTAGATATCCCCATTACCATAAAGAATGAACACTGGCCATTGCAGTGCCAGGAAGCTTTGCCGCTTTTCATCATCTCGGTCAATCTGAAAAAGGTATTAAAAGCTAAGACCAAAAAACATTCACACCAAAATATGTTTAAGGCTTTGAATTTTGTCAGCCATTTTAAATACTGTACTGTATTCAGAACATGACTGAGGCAAAATATACAGTACTGTACTTCAAATATTAAGGCCTTTCCCACTGTGGTGCAGGGTGGCTGTGGCCAAGAGCAACACATAGACTCTATCACTTGCTGATCACTGGACATAGCATGCCCCTTTTAACCACCTCAATACAACTATCAACTTATATATGGTGTCAAATTCTTTCTGGATAATGAAAAAACACTTACCAAATTTTCTATCACTCCATTGGAGACAGGATTTCCAGAGAGGTATTTCATTGGTTCACTTGGAAGGCTAAAATCAAATGCCACTGCATTTTCTCCAAGGGTTGAGGTACAAGTGAAATTGGAACTACTGATAACACCTGCTTTAACTGAACCAACAGATATTGCTTGTTCTGGAATTTCATTCGATGACAAATTGAATATCCTGAAATAGGTTAAACATTATTAGATACATATAAAACATCAAAATGAAAAATTTAAGGAGGTAAAAAATTCAGCATCAGATAATAACATCTGCTCCTTTGACTTCATTATAAAGTACAGGGTAATCTTAATATTTCAAACAAGAGTTCTCTACATTTTGAGCTTGAAAAAACTTATGACGTTAAAATAAGCAAATGCAAATGACAATTACTGTAATATCTTAACTACAGTATAAACGACCTCATATCAACATAAAGAGTCTTACCTTAGATAATTATCTGAGGCAAGGATAACAATGTGGTTGTTATCTAATGACCCTGGGTGCCAGGCAGCAGCCAACACTTCCACTTTAGGATGACAGGAAAAAAATCGCGCAGCCACATACTCCACCCTGGAAAGACATTTCGTGTTATAGAGTAAAAAAAAATACCCAAACTTAGGTATTATAATATCAATACATAAACTGTACCCTTGTGACACTAATGACATATCATAGGTAAAGAAAGGACTGTGAATAAAGATCCCCACCACCAGCTCACGACCTACCACCCCATTATTATTGACTCAAACAAAATAAAATCATATCCTTCTTACAGGCAATTACAGTAATGGAAGATAAAGCTATCACACTATACTATTGACGGGAACAAAACTTTACCTGCAAGTGATGGTGTCCCTCCCTCTATCATACAGCGGAGGATCACCAGAACGGTGTGGTAGTTCCACTACGGCCACACCTCGACGACCTATGAGGGCAACACAATTCCCATTTTTGTTCATTTGTATTTGTTCCACCTCCCATACTGGTGGTTTAGATAGAGCTAATGTCTGTAATGAAAGAATCCACAATTATTTGATAAACAAAATAATGTAATCTAGCACATAATTCCAAACTGTATAAGATTTTACCTTATCTTACAGTATTTTATTAATTTTTTTGTCAGGTAGTAAATTAAATTGTTGTGTACTATTTATCATTAGTTATTAATAGTTAGGTAGGTTTAGTTCTTGTTCGTGAACCAATTTGGTGTCTTTGGGTTATGATATTGGGGTATTTTTGTAATTGGGGAACCGAATCCTATTTTTCCCTTAAGTTCTTTTATTCAAGATACAATTCACTTGACGAGTGTTTTTTCTTGACCTAACCCATTCATATATCGAGGGACATCTATTTATTGAGATTAGTATTTTATAAGGACTAGCCCTTCCAGGCATAGGCCATTGATCCACAACAGTATACAGGGTACAGTATTTTTAATGTACATTTGCTTATTTTACCCATAATTTTCTACAGGGTGATATTCAAGCCCATATTTGTGAATCTTGTCACATTTAAATTTTTTTTCACAATTCCCCCAAAATCAAAATTTACATGTATTTTCGAAATTAACAAATGTTTATTGATTTGATAACAAATTCACAAAAAATACTGAAAATTCTAGTCTGTATCTGCCCTACAGGCCCTTTTTTTTTTTGCAAGTTACCGCTGTCCAGTAAATTTTCAATAGAAAATGGAGAGGAGTCGTGAGGACCGACTCAGTATAACACTTTGAGAGATAGGTAAATATTATTTTCGTTTCTGGAACTATATTACAACATTTCATACACTTTGAGGGATATAATTATGCTTCCTTCATTTGCTGCATCAATAAGTTCAGCTTACATTAGCTACATGATGTTGGAATAATAAGGATTTCAAATGACCTCACAGGATCTATATTTGTGACATCTCTATCACTCTTGGTCATAGTTTGAGTGAAAAATATTAAATTTTTTCCCCTTATGTCTTGCTTAAGAAAATATATACAGTATAGCTACTCCTGCCATAAATGTAGTTACAAAAATTGCTTTAAATGCATTTCTGTTTACGTAAAGATGCTGGGCTCTGGGAGGTGTTAGTTAGTCCCACTAACTCCCAGTTATTTGCCAGGGTGCCCCCCAGTAATACTATAGCACTTGGCTAACACCATAAGTTGTTCGATTTTGTTAATTTTTCCCACAGATGTTCTTTGGATGATAAAAAGTAATAAAACATAAAAATTTCATTTTTTTTTTAGTATTTATGATCATGAGGGATATTGTAGGGTAAAACACGGTGAAAAAATTAACATATGCCATTAATATGATGTCGACATGCATTGCATGCAAATACATTAATTATTTAAGCAAATACTGTATTCTTCCAAAAAGATCTACCGTTGTCGACATGTGTCGTCTTCCACTCTTTGTTCGTTTAAGTGCAACAACCGGCACACTTGGTCTGAGCATACTCTCATGCCCAAGAAAAAACTAATATTACACCATGCTATTTCAAGAAAGTTGCTTTCATTGGTACCAAATATAAAAGTAAAGTAAGTACTTTCTGCTTAATGTGGCGGGGGGGCCTGGGGACAGAGCCCCCCTTGACTTGGAAGTTGGGTAGTGTTAGGAAGGAATCTTTGGTTAGTTCAGTCAGGTTCTGTGTATTGTATTGTTTTTATAACCATCGTTCAAAGAACATCAGTGGAAAAAATGAAGGAAATCTAATGCATTCTGGTGTTAGACATCTGTTCCACGATTACCCAAACTCCTCCTCACATTTGACAATTCCCCAAATTTCACCCTGTGCTTCCTTCTGTCTTGATATTTGAACTCTCGAGAGTAAGAACACTGACCATAGGTTTTAGTGATGTGAATTCTACTATAGCTATAGAATATTTTGGCGAGATAATTATTTTTTCTCATGCTAATCATAATTAATGGAGATATACACCATAAATAAAATTACCAGTCATTACAATGTCAGAAGCATAAACCTCACCTGCACTTTCGAATCTGAAGGTGTAACGAGTTGTGAGAGAAGGCAGCCGTCTTCCTTACTCCAAGCCACAATAACATCATCAGCAACATTTAACAGCTGGTGGCGTGGACACTTTGTAAGCAATAGATCTTTATACTTCTCTGATAAAACCTTCGACAATTTGAGAGACTCGCCGCCTGTGGTGCTTGAACCAGCCATGTTTGTTGACATGACCAATTGTGTTCTATTTAAATAACTTCGTTTGTCTTGTTCCTCATATAGTAATCGCCATCAACTAAAGACGAATATAATTGGAGAAAGTAACAATTTTATTTATTATTATCATTATTATTTTTATCAAATTTTACATGACTAACGCGCATATAAAAGGAATATGTATAACGTTTAAGTCAGCTGAAGACTATCAAACACATCATATGACCATCGTAAAGCGAACTTAAATTTAAATGTGTACGCGGTAAAATCCTTATTTATTAACTAATGTATCTATACACAGGAGTCAGGCCAAATCACATATGTAGTCGTAAATTCCTAATGTACTGCTGCAAGAATTTATCAGTCGGTAAATGTCATTCATACTGTGGTAATGTGCTGTTTCCTAGATGCAGTGTGACGTCCATCTCCTAGTCGGAATGTACCGGTCAGTGTGTACCATTCCCTGCTAAAATTATTGTATTTATTAAACGCGGAGATGTTATCGGTACATTATTGACTGACATCATCTATTCGTAACCAATTATGTATCGATATCATCACGCGAATTTTTTTGACCAATCACATTTGATCTTTTTCAAATGAAGTAGCCTGGGTAATTTCATTGACCAGTCTCACTATGGCCGTGGTGGAGGGATTTCGCATTTGTGATCCTACGATTATAGTTTTTGCTGAGTTTTACGAGAAAGACGACCATTCTATCAAATTCTTACGTATCCCTGGTCCTTCCACTTCTAACTAAGGTACTGCACTTTTGGACATGGCGCGCCCCAAAGTTTTTAACTACTGAAACATTAAGGTTAGTTTAAGCTAGGCCTACGGGGGGCGGATCCTGGCTAGGGTTACGTTAGGTTAGGTTAGGATTTGTTAGTTTTGGGTGGGGGAGAAAACGAGTCACCTAAACTTTAGATGACTCATTTTCTCCCCATTATTGTTTGTGTGAGAGTGGGGGCAAAAACGAACAATTTCCGCCAAAAATTAAGGTCAGATTCATTTAAAACACACCAAAATACACGGGAAAAACACATTGGTCAATCCCTAGGGACTAATATCCTGACTTTTTCCTGTGTGGTATAAAGTTGAAAAGGCATTATTGCATTTACACACCGTTCATACCTCCCACTAATCTATTATCATATTCAAATGAGACGTCTAATTATAAGATAATTTTCATCTATTACATTACCGGGGGAAATGTATGATAACGGAGATAGCTTGTCCAAAATGTTCTCTATTTTCTTCCATTAATCTTTCACCATTATCGCCTGCCTCTCCTCCTCCACTGCGTGTCTCCTTCATAAATCATCACGCGCATGCATTGACGTACACACGCGGCCAATCAAAAGCGTTTTTGTTTTTGAAACCAATTAAAATGATTTTGGGTTTAATTCGCAGTATATTTGACCCAATCAAATTCGAGTTTTATTTTGGATCTCTCATATTTCGAAATTCAAGTTCAGTAACTTCAGTTCCGACCATGGCAGTCTGCGATGTGTGTCACTTCAATTATATGGAGCTGATTGCGAGTTTTTTGGAAAAATACGAAGAAACTTTAGCATTTTTTGGATCGCGTGGTGTTAACATAAGAACATAAGAATGGAGGAAACTGCAGTGGGCCTATTGGCCCATACTGGGCAGTCCCGTTTACACCCAACCCCTATTGCTCATATGAGCATCCAACCTATGTTTGAAGCAATTCAGCGTATTCGAGTTAATGATGATATTTGGTAACTTGTTCCATTCATCCACTACTCTGTTTTCAAACCAGTGTTTACCTATTTCACCCCTAAATCTAAATTTGTCTAATTTAAAACCATTGTTACGAGTTCGCGCCTGGTTGGATAGTTTGAGTACCTTGTTTAGCCCTGCCTTCCACTTATACACCTCTATCAGGTCGCCCCTCGCTCTACGTCTCTCAAGGGAGTGCAAATTAAGATGCTTTAACCTGTCTCTATATTCAAGGTTCCTAATGCCCGGGATTAGTCTTGTCATTCTCCTCTGAATTCTTTCCAAGGATTCTATATCCATTCTGTAATACGGTGACCAGAACTGAACTGCGTAATCCAGGTGTGGTCTCACAAGAGCAAAATACAGTTTTAGGAGCAAGACTGAATGTAAATATTGCAAAGATCAACATATGCCGTTCAGTTCTGGTGCCCCTATAATAGAATGGATATAAATTCACTAGAGTCGGTGCAGCGAAGAATGACAAAAATGATTCCGGGACTTAGAAACCTTCCATATCAGGATAGGTTGAAGAAACTTAACTTGCATTCCCTAGAAAGATGAAGAGTGCGGGGAGACATGATAGAAGTATTTAAGTGGGTGAAAGGAATCAATAAAGGGGATATAGATAAAGTTCTTATAATATCTGAGCAGGATAGGACTCAGAGCAACGGATTCAAGTTGGATAAGTTTAGGTTTAGGAGGGAGATAGGAAGAAACTGGTTCACAAATAGGGTGGTGGACGAGTGGAACAAGCTTACCAACTTTGTAGTAAGTGCTGGAACTCTGGAAAGTTTCAAAAGGAGGCTAGATAGATTCATGGATGATAGAGAGTGGTAGTAACTCTCGACAGGAGCTGCCATGTGCAGGCCAACCGGCCTATTGCAGACTCCTTATGTTCTTATGTAATCTCAGAATCCAATGATGAACAAGAACCAGGCCAATAAGGTAAGAAAAAGGTGATTCCATCATATGGTGAGAGTCAGTTAGGTTAGGTTTGGTTTTTGTTTTCTAGTGTTTTTTTTTTTTGGTATATTTTGCCATAATTTTTTTCGGAGAATGTAAAAAAAAAAAATGCTAATTTCCCCCAGAAATGAAGGTCATATTCGGTTTAAACACATACAAATACTCTAGGAAAATATATTTTTTACTTTCTAACAGAGAATTTTCTTCCACCAGTTCTTTAAACTCCACTAAAAACTTTGCTGCCCCTTCCTTATCAGCACTAGCAGCCTCACCATGCCAAACTACACGAAAAATGTCACTTCTTTTCTTAAATTTTTCGATTCAGCCTTTGCTGGCCCTAAGATCTTCAAATTCTGTGCCTGAAGAACCAGGTTGATCTGTCTTTAAATGTTCGTATATCTCCCTGGCTCTTTCACAAATAAATTCAGTAGAAACTGAATCACCTTTCATCTGTTTTTCCCTAATCCAGATGAGAAGTAACCTCTCAGTTTCTGTAATTAGGGATCTACTTTTAAACACTCTGGTAGATTTGTCTCTCACTTTCACTTCTTTAAATTTGTCTTTCTGTGTAAGAATTGTCGACACAGTTGATGTCGACATGCCATATTCTTTGCATAGCGCATTTGTTCTAATGCCTTCTTCATGTTTTTTTTATAATTTCCTGCTTGGTTTGGATTGAAATTGCTTTTCTTGATCTCTTAGGGCCCATGCTGGATTCAAAAAATCTCAACACGTGATATTTTAAGTTTAAACTTGGTGTAATTCAAGATTATTTTCTTTAAAATAACACTGCACTATATATTGTCAATATGTAAAAGAAATTTCAAAATAACCAATAATTTGCTAGGAAACACAAAAAAAAGGCATTTAGTTGAAGAGTCTCAAGCAAGATGTTACCTCCACTGAAAAGAGAGACTAACGCCTGTATGGTGTGTTGGCAGGGTGGATGGTGCGCATGAAACTAGTGACCTTACCTTCAATTATGTTCAATAATTGTTAAAATGACTAAAAAATTTAATATTAAACTTTTAAAATTATTGAATAGTATAAACTTTTTGATATTTACTAAAATAGTAAGGAATTTAAGCCCTAGAACCAATTACTGTATTGGCGGACTAATACTACAGCTGGTTGACCGCCAAGTGCAAGCGAAAACATGTTCAGGTCGGCTTGTAAGAAACTCGTTAATTGAGGGATTGCTTGTCAACCGAAGTTAAGAATCTTATGGGAGGTAACTCGTTAACCGAGGGACCACTGTACTGTATTGGTATCTGTGCTTTCCCTGTTTATTTCCTCTGCTGCTATAAATGAATGAATGAATAAACTAATAAAAAAAATTCACAGTTGGAGTCAGCATTAGTACTCTGATCCAGGCTGATTATCATGATAAAATTAAATAATAGAAGACATAACTACAAGTAATGGGCTTCTTGCGCATATCTGTGAAGTGTGAATGTCAAAGAGTAATTCAAACAATAGGGAGCAAGATCATTCAAACATCAAACATGAATCATTATGCAATTCCTGAGACAGATGTCAACAGCACATATTGGAAATATGACTTGGTTTAAGGTTCTGTATTTTATACTCAGATTCTTTCCTGATATAGTCAGACATCAAATACTGCACTCTGAGAAAAGTAATAATTCTACTGTGATTTAGTGATGCATTATTGAGTCTGGTAGCCCAGTCATGTGTACGAACGGAGGTCAGTGATCTCCCCAGGACCACAGGTACTGAATGTGTGAGTTTGATGGTGCTGGGGGCAGTGGGCTGCCTGCATTACTTTTTTTTTTTTTTTTTTTATTATTATTCTTCCTCCCCTCCTCGCCAGCCCACAGATCGACCAACCTACCGGGAATTATCCCGATACTCCAGATGGCCAGTCCATCCCTGGCTGTGACCCCTTGTGGGGGCAGATTTCCACAAATGTTGTCGGGGAGGGAAGGTTGGCCCTGAAGTGGTTGACCCCCTGTTGAAAATGACAGTGTACACTGTAATGAGGGCTGGTTGTTTTGATCAATCCAGATCAAACCTCTCCTTGATTAAATTGCAAAAAAGAGAGGTGGGTCCTCACAGCAAAAGATGTCTCTCAGGGTTGCCCTTCATTTTCCTTAGAAAGTACATGTACACAAAATTTAGTTCTCACACAAACATACTGTATACACAATTTGGAGATCACAAAATTTTTATGAATACAAGAGGGCGTTAGGTTTGCAATAAACAATAATATAGCTTAAGTACATTTATTAATGTGAAATCTCAAATCATAAATTCTTCTGTACAAGTAACCCATATTTACAAAACTAGGAAAAGTAGTAAGTTTCATACTCTTGGAATGTGTGTCTGAAGTTAAAAATATCACAAATTATGTCACTTTAATCATGACTTAATCAAATGAATTCATTACCTGTATTTCCTACTATCCATAACTTTTTCTAATATTGTTTTCAGGTATGAAAGTGTAAAACAGTCGAAGTTCAAGATAATGAATTTCAATTATATTTTTTACTTACTAAGTTTACAGACTTAAAGAACAACTCCACTAACTTCTGGAAAAGAAAGGATTCTCATATATATATATATATATATATATATATATATATATATATATATATATATATATATATATATATATATATATATATATATATATATATATATATATATATATATATATATATATATATATAAAGAAACAAGTAGGTATTGGATAAAGTAACAGTTGAGATCATAGAAATTGTATTTTCTTGCAGATTCTCTTAAAATATTTCTATAAAAGTATAATTGTAAATTACACTGCAGATACAGTGACTCTGAGCTCTGCAGCCTTCTGTACTTTGCAAATGTTATCTTGAACTTTTTTGTCATAAAACTAAAAATAAAACTTAACAAAACTTTTGGTGATTTATACTCCACCAAGAATAACAATTACACATGTTAACATGAAACACTCCACAAGCTGTGCTGACATCTGTGAATGATGGCAATGATGACAATGAGATAATGTGATAAGTTATGCCTTGAAACAGGCACACCCTACTCAATAATTAAAATGAGTAACAAGTACAGTAGCACCACAGTAGTGATGGTCAATGATTATGTAATTTTCTCCATCATCAGTGTGATAATCACCAGGGCATAAGTATAAAGCAGAGCATGCATATTGTCTTTAGTGTATGATTGAAAGAAGGTATCCAAGGACCACCTCAGGGCAGACCAACCTGAGGGATCATTTCACATTGTGCAAAATACAAAATAAAATCCCTTTTTTGTACAACAAGTAAGTCTTGAAATAACAGGAAGGAAAGTAAACTAACCAGTCCGACATAAATTAACTTCTCAAAAAATATTTTCATCAGTCACTTTAACTGCATAAAGCAAGGCATGATAAAGAAAGCTGCAATGTCGAACTCCTTGTATGAAATACTTTTCACTATTAAGAATCACCAAAGAATCCCACATGAGATAACAGCCAATGTGTGTATGAGAACTGTAATGTACGAGGAGTTGACTGTACAATCTGTGTACTGTCAAACATTTTAATTATTAATAAGGAAACAGTAGAACCAGAAGCTAAGGTGAGGAACAGACAATCTGAAGAGCTCCAGAGACCCACAAGTAGTGGACTCACAAATCACTGGCACAAATTCCATCAAAATTAAAATGAAATGCCAAGAAATCATTGACATAGTAGAAAGTTCACATCTTCTATGATGACTGCAATACAGTATTTGGCAAATTTTAACTTCAAACATAAAGATATAAATCTGTCATAGTATTGGTAAATTTCTCTAAAGCATATTTAAACATGATTATTTCATATGCCAGGATCCTGCCTTCCAGTAGGTACAAGTAAAACATTTTAACTGAACCATTTAAAATTAAGTATTTACAAAATATATACATATTTATCATACTCTATGCCTAATCAGATCCTTGATAAGACTGTCTGTCTCTAACAGTACAAATCCTACAAATAATTGCCCACTAGAGATTATCCATTTAAACTATAAATAAAATACCGGGTCTGAATTACATGGATGTACTGAGAAATCCATAAAAGGAGGGACTGTACATATACCTTATTTATATTATCAGAAATTGTGGAAACACACTTAATTTTACAAAAGATGATTACATCCAAATTTGTGAAGCATTGCCAAAAGTTATTGTCATGGATATGAAAATGGTTTGGCTGTTCAGGAGTAAACATGCATGACCGAAATATAAAATTAATTTTGAATACTGTACATGATTAACACAACTTTTTTCGCCTTATTCAGTACAAACTCGTTGAAATATGAAATTCAGTTCATAAAATTTTTCTCCAACATATTCTGGTGTGCAGTTGCAGGGATCCTGAAATGTAAAAAAAAATATACTGTAGATAATCTTCCAGTTGATGTAAAGTGATGTTTTGCAAGTAAAATTTACATATTGTATCAGCAAATTTAAAATATCACACTAAAGACTCCTGCTATAGTGCAAAAAAAGAAGAGTAGGCTTAGATTTTCAATTATTACCTTACAACCAAAAACTGAATAAATTTTATTTAAGTGTTCTACTGTACTGTGCAGTAGTATAACATGATCATAAGAGTCCTTATCAGCTCTCTCAACCTTTTTCTTTATAAAGGACATACAGTATGAGACCAGCTAATCACAGTGTGCCTTATAGGGTGAGTCCCCTAGGAGTCAATCTTTTAATAATTTTCACAACTTAGCTTACTAGCCCTATGGGCAGTTGGTCTATGCAGTGTTAGTATAGGAGAAAACTGGGGACTGGGAAACCTGTCTCTGGGCAGAGGCTTGAACCCTTGGCATATTGGTGAGATAAGTGTGTTACCGCTGTACCACCAACACCCCCAGTACAGTTTATACATGTGTTCTCTGTACTGCACACTTTTACTTTTATCCACTTCGCCGCTGATCAGCTCGTTAGCTGCTTAAGCAGACGGTACACACTGTTGGCAAGTACTGAATGTATCCCAACGTGTTCCAGTGTTGGTCAAGTGTGGTCTTGAAAGAGCTCACACTTGGTGCCATCACAACACTCTGGCAGATTATTCCAAGAGTTCACAATTCTCACTCCAAAAAAGTTTGCTCTCACTGTTTTCTAGACTTGTGGCTTCTTCAACCTTGAGCTGTGACCCCCTTGTGGGGCGGGGATCCTCCAGTTCCAGGTGTGGACACTCGACTGGGTAATGCCCTCTGAGATGCTTATACACTTCAAAAAGGTCACTCCTTGCCCGTCTGTAGTATATGCTAAGCAGTTGCAGGCATTCTAATCTCTCTGGATAACTTCACACTGCATATTTTGTTTATATTTTAATTATTTTTATTTGGAAATAATTTTTACTTGTGTGAAATTATGTTTCCAAAATGTCTAAGATTACCTATGAAGTGAAAGTTAAATTGTTGTATAGAATGGAGTGAGGCACCAAGGCAACTGGATGCGAGTTTGATCTCTGTGAATCTTTAATGAGAACAATTAAGAAGAAAAAAGACAATTAGTATATGCAATAGCTGAGACCATCATTTATTTATTGTATTAAAATTATGTATGTAGTTATTACAATTAAGTTTTACATATATTTAGGGGTGTAAAATTATGTGGGGGGGAGCTCTTGGTACAGTAGGCTCTCGCCAATAACGACTTCCACAATAACGTTTTCGACAATCACGGTAAGTTACAATAGATACCCATTTTCAATAATAACGTCTGGATTCTCTTGAATAACGGAGATTTCGCGGGAAGCGTCTGAGCGCATCAAAGATAGTGTTTGTTTGTCGCCGTGTTGATGACGTAGTTGTCCACTCCGCCTCACTCTTACTCTCTCACACGCTCTGTGGAATACAGCGCTGCGCCCACGTGTGAGATTTTCTCCTCTATAACCAGTGGTTGCTGGGGTCGGTGATCAATAATGGCTTCCACATTTTTGCCTGTGGGGGCTAGGGGAGGTGGTGGAGGGAGTGATTTGCTACCTGAATGCCCGGGAACTTTTAAAGTGAATGAGAAAAAAGACCCCAAAGCTAAGAGACAAAGCCACAAGAAGCGTGCCTACTCGGTCAAGGATAAAGAACAGTTTGTTGAGCTCATTGAAAGTGGTGCACGGAACATTGATATTGTGAGGAAATTGAATTGACCTGAGTCTAAGAGTGCGAAAAATTAAGATGAACTTAGAGGAGATCAAGAAGAGTATTGTGCTGGCTCAGAAATATTTCAGTAGTGATGGAAATGCGAGGCGAGCTATGAAAGATAAAAGTGATAGAAACAGGTTGTTTGTGATAGCAGAGCATTTTCTTGTGGAATGGTTAGCTTGTAGAATGAAAGACAGTGCAAGTGTTAGCGTCCCTCAGATACGGAACAAGCATCACACCAAGCACCTCAAAAACTCCCCCAAGCTAAGTGTTATATTACTCAAACTCTTTATTTTGATGATTGAATAACAATTCTTTTTATTTCTGCTAACAAAAAGTGTTAGGAGGGCTTCTAAGGGGAAAAATTGGGTGAAATTCTTGAGGCGGCAGCACCAATAAACCCTTTTTACATGTATTTTATTGTCACACAAATAACGTTTTCGCTATTAACGGTGTTTTTCAGGCACCTATTAGACGTTATTGGTGAGAGCCTACTGTAGCATGAATTTTCACTTGACCGAAGTACTTCAGGAATACATCTTCCATGCTAAGTGGGTCCTTATAAACTATGAAATGAATAAGGCAATTTCAGGATGGTTGGGTATTGGTAAGGGAGATTTTTATATTTATCATTTCAACACTTATCAGCTTACTAGCTGTTCAGGCAGTTGGTCTATTCTTTGTTACCTTGTTATAAACTTTTACGCTCGTATTATTAAACAACATCTTCCCTTGAAGAGGGTCGTCGTGTTTCGACCCGAGTTTTAAACTAAACGAGTCCTGAGGGACACCGCAGTACTGTACTTAATGGGGTGGTGTGGCGGTTTAATAATACAGGCGTAATTCTTCAGGGTTATAGATTCCCGGGATTCCTGAGCCCCAAGCTTTTGGCAAGCAATGCATAAAAAAAAGTAGCCATTAATATTATCTGAAGAACTATAAGCATGTAGAGTAGTTGTAATGTATGAAACAATGCAAAGAAAAGGTGTAAAAATGTCCACGCAACTTACGTCATCTTCATCAATTATTGGTATGCGAAACTTGTATGCAACCTGAAGCCACATTCCAACATTGGTAAGGGTAACATAGCGGTCACGGGGACTTGGCCCATTGGTCTCCACCACCTCATATGGTGAAAGGTTATCGCCAGAAACTGGACACTGCTCAAATGGAAATGGTGGAATGCTGTCACTGCGGTTGGTGCAGAAAGAAGGCTGCCTGGCAAAACTGTCCGCCAGGAATCTGTTAAAAGCAAAATCTATTTAAAAGTCAATCCTTCCCAGTGGAGTTAAGAGTCACGCATACCTGTATGTTTATGTGTTGATTCGTTTATTCATTTGTAAGCACTCAAAAACTGGAAAACAGATTAACCTGGCAGAGGAACTTAATACTCTGTAGTCTGTTGCACTTTTTAAAATCCTGAGTACAGCATGTTTAAAAAATGTCCTATTTTTCCCACTTTTCTATATACTTTCTCTTTTAATTTTGTTTATTACTTCTTGCTTCCCTGATAACACCTTTCACATAACAAACATCAAGTATGACACACACAATATTTAGATTTTTTTTTACCGAAAATCTAATATTTTACAAACATTCACAAATACACTACCTGTAGAACTTTTATTTAAATTACTTTGTGGTAATTTTCGCAAAATATTGATTGATAACATAGTGAATGAAAATCATGTGGCTGGCAATAAAGTATTAGCTTTCTTTAATGTTTAACAACTCTTCTCTTTAACAACTTTTTTATTACTCTTCCAAGCATTTTCCAACACCGTAACTATAATGCATGATGTTCAAAATTAAGAGCAAACACAGCTTGTGGGCTGTCAGATACTTTTTCTATGATGTTTTCCTTCCACAACAAAGCTCTGTGTTATACCTGTCACTTCACACACTACTACCAACACCCATCAGCACCACAGCCATCCTCAAAAACCACATGATTCAATTTTCTTAGATTATTAAAACAACTCTGTAGCATCTTGGATTTTTAACCCCTCACTTTGAGCATGTAATTCAACAAGGGTTTTAAAATACTGTAAGACAACCATGGCTAGACAGATAAAGAATAAAGTCCTTCACCATTTGCTTCTGCAACAAATATTCTACTGATGAACTTTATAACAAGTGTCTAGGTATTACAAATACCTGTATAATCAGCATTTCAACCTACCTGAAGTGCAGTGTAAGGTTGGTGTGTGGCATGAACCGTGAGATTGGGAGGCCATAAGTAAAGTTTTTGGCTCTGTTGGAGAAGCAGTCAGAGTAGGTATCTGAGGAGTTGAGACAGTAGAGGTGACTGATTGTTGTGTTCAACTCCACAATATCTATAGTTGGGATCTGAACATTTGTACCTGAAAAGATAAGGTGAACTTTACTAATTCTTTCTATTTATATGGTTATGATCACTTTACAGTACTGTACTCACCTTTACCATAAGTGGCTCATTTCAGTCATTAAAATGAATAATATTTTCATCAATGAATATAACACTGGGAACTAGATATTTTGATCTTTAAATAATTACTTGTAAAGATTATGATCATTGCCTAAAACTGTACCTTATGTAATAATGCTATGAATTGCTTGCCATCTACCATATGTGGTGATATACGTAATGCATTTTATAAAATTAAAACATGTACAGTACAATGTATTACAAAACTGCTTACTGCCGCTCATTTGTGTTTTTTGACGTGGAGAACTATCAGTAGATCGTTTGGAGTGAATGGAACGCTTGCTAAGTGTTTGTTTGATACTGCGAGAGTTAGAAGGTCGACTCATTTGAGCTCTGTGACGAGCTAGACGTGCCATTTGATCGTGAGGGCCAGACTTCTTACTGGGCATAGGCTGTTGGAGTAAATTAAATCATTACTATTTACTTGTTAATCTATAGTTTAAGCAACAGTAGTGTGGACAATAAAATGAAGAACGACATATACAGTATGTATATGTCATGGTTTTATTTTGGTATATGTATGTGTGTGTGAGTTTGTAAAAGTTTCAAGTTACATAATGTAATGAGGAAACTTTTAAAAATAGGGTAAGTTCAAAAGACATAGCCTAATGTGAAAACTGGTCAATAATAATACAGTAGTACAGTATAATCAAGATACAGAGCATAGTGTGAAAGAAAAAAATATGTAACTACTGTTCAGTAGTATACAGTGCACAAAACGAAAAACAACAGTACGGTACAGTATTGTAATTCATAATATTTTCAAAGCATGTGTTTAACACTGAACTAACCTTTAACCGCTGTGTCTCTGCCTGTGTTGTTGAATCATTAACTGTGTTCGGGTCACTGGTTGACAGTTTATTAGTGATGACCTCCCCATACCGTGACATGGTTGGAGGAACAGTTGTAGTACCTGGTATGGAGAAAAAATATCTTGTATTAATGAGAGATCCAACCCACTACTCAATTCAGTCTGTCTGCACAGTATAAAGCTGAAAACAATTAATAAAATCACTGGTGAAGATGAGGTTTGAGATGTAATATTTCAGTAGGTTTTTATTATTTTGTATGCACTGAGAAAATCATTAATCTATGCAGGTAACAATACACCCTAACACTGAATGGCCTATGGTTATACTGTAGTGTACTCTATTTCCATGAGAAAGCTTTTTATTTTTTATTTATTTATTTATTTATGGATTTATGGGGAATAGCCCACCCGGGCACAGGTCATCGACCCACAACAGGGCCCAGGGGACGAGAAAATAAAGTAAAGTTAACTATCTGATCGATAAACATATACCCAAGACCAAACCCAGTGCCTACAGGAATACAAGGAGACCATTACACTAGAACCATGCGGCGGTCGACAAAGTTAAGAAGAAAATTCAGGATTTCGAGAGGTGGGTTAGGACAAATGATGAGCAAAACAGGAGGATGTATGCCAGATCCAGGAACTAAGAAAAGTCAGAGTGTAGAAGGGGTGACAAAGAGTTCCAGAGGCAGATTGCAAGCAAGGTCAAGTCAAACCCAAAGGTTTTTACTGCTTCGCAAAGTTCAAATTAATAATCCGAGTAGGCATATTGGACCCGAGCCTTGAAGATGGTAGTTATGCAGATTATGACCAGGATAAGGCGGAAGTGTTGAACAAATTCCTTTCCTCGGTGTTCACAAGAGAAGATGCGAACAATCTTCCTGCGTTTGAGGAAAAGCGGTTTGACACAGTGCTCATCCACATTGTGTTCTCAGAAGAGGGTATAAAAATAAACAAAGCTAAAGATTCGTAAGAGTCCTGGCCCTGATATGGTACACCCCAGAGTGTTCAGAGACCTGTGTAACGAGCTTGCGGAGCCCCTTAATATCATCTTCTCCAAATGCCTGGATGAGCAAAAGGTCTTTGATGACTGGAAAATGACTTGTGCAAGTCCTATATTCAAGAAGGGCGATCGTCACTCCATGAATAATTATACTTGTAGACCAGTGAGCCTGACCAACATACTGTAGTGTGTACAGTACTAGAGAGCATCATAATAGATGCCATGATGAAACATCTACTACAAAACAACCTTGTAAAGGACTGCCAACATGGTTTTATGCTGGGATGCTCCTGCTTAACACAATTTCAGTACTCTAGGTCCTGGATGTTTGGACTCAAATTCTAGAACAAGGTGGAAATATTGACAATATCTTTATGTATATACTTAGATTTTACCAAGGCTTTCAACAGCGTACCCCCTGAAAGACTGAGAATTAAATTGGAATGGTACGGGATTCGAGGAAATGTCCTAGCATGCATAGAAGAATTTCTGCATGACCAAAAACAGTGTGAGATGATTAATGGTGTGAAATCGTCATTAGACAAATTTAGATTTTGGTGCAAGATAGGTAAACATTGATTTGGAAATATAGTGGATGAGTGGAACAAGTTACGAAACATCATTATTAACTTGAATATGCTGGATAGCTTCAAACATAGGTTGGATGGATATAGGAGTGATATTGGGTAAAAACGGGACTGCCCAGTATGGGCCAACAGGCCCGCTGCAGTTTCCTCCATTCTAATGTTCTTATTTGTACCTGTGACAAGTAGGTACCACAGGGCAGTAATGGGCCCATCGTTGTTTGTCTGCTTCATAAATGATATGCCAGAAACTATACACTCCTCCATACAAATATTTGTGGACGATGCCAAGATATTTAGGGAAATTATGAACCAAACAGACTATGAAAAGCTGCAGAAAGAACTCTGTGAGCTTCAAGAATAGTCGAAGAAATGGCTGCTAAAATTCAATGTCCCAAAGCGCAAGAGGATGCACTTGGGTTGCACCAACAGTAAGGAGGTGTATCACATATGTCCCAACAGGAAAAAGAAACTGCATTAATTGAGACCGAATGTGAAAAGGACCTGGGTGTCTATGTTGACAAGGAACTTAAGTTCTCTGGTCACTGTGAAAAGAGAAGGTGAATAAGGCAATGAAACTAGTAGGTCTTATAAAAAGGTCGTTTAGATATCTGGATGGTCCGTCAGTCATCACAATCTTCAAGAGTGAAGTGCTTCCCCATCTGGAGCACTGTTAATGGTTTAAAAATGTCCAAAGGAGGGTCACCAGACTGGTGCCTGCTCTATGGAACCTCAGGTACCCAGAGAGATTAGAATGCCTTCAAGTGCATAGCTTATACTACAGACGGGCAAGGGGCGACGTAATAGAAGATAAACATCTCAGAGGGCACTACTCAGTCAAATGTACATACCTGGAGCTGGCAGATGCCCGCCCCACAAGGGGTAACAGCTCAAAGTTGAAGAAGCCACAAGCCCAGAAAACAGTGAGGGTAAACTTTTTTGGAGTGAGAATTGTGAACTCTTGGAACAATCTGCCAGAGAGTGTTGTGATGACACCGAGTGTGAGCTCATTCAAGGCCAGACTTGACAGACACTGGAGCAGGTTACGATATATTCAGGAGCCAGTTCATGCCCAGTACTTGCCACAGTGTGTATCAGAGACGTGACCAACCTCCCAAACGACTAATGAGCCGATCAGTGGAGAAGAGGATAAAAGTAAAAGTGAAGTATATACACAAATTTTCCCTAATTTGTTAACAACATTTTACTGAAATGTCAGAAATTGAACAGTAAAATATGTTCTTAAATTCATACTGTGCTGTATAACTGACCATAGTGTATGATGCGACGGCTGAGAGTAACGGTAGTGGATGCAGTACTGGGGCTCAGTTGCAATGGGGCCATCACACCTGTCCAGATGTTATTAAGTGGGCAGCAATATACCTGTAACAACATATTGAACAACTTTAGGCTATGAATGCTTATATCAGATTACTGTACCATATAATACCTTACTATAATGATATATCAAGACTAAGCCATTAATACAGGTTAACTGTTACTATACATGTAATCACTACTGTACCTGGCATACTGGGTCTTCATTGGGATCAGTTTCTTGGCAGTAATCAGGCTTCCCTATAACAGGTGGTCTTGGAATCAATGGATCTGGTGTAGTGCTTCCAAAGGTTGGCTTGGTGGTAAACACAACAGAGGTATGAGAGACGTCATCGGTAGAAGAGGTGGTCCTATCTGTAGTGGCCGTCCGTAAAGTAGACGTCACCATAGAGGAAGACAGGAATATGGTGGTGGCTGTCGTTGTCCTGAGGATAAGAAACACCGAGGTCAATAATGTGTAAAATTAAATCATCTTGTAACCTGTTCCATTCATTGCAAAACTGCATAAATATTATTTTATTCACAAATACTGAACACCCTGTACTGTACTCTGGTTAATACAGAACTGTATTTTACTTTTAACTTCTTTGCCACTCTCCAGTACTTCTCAGCACATTTAAGTATCAAAAGGAACAATAGCAAAATAAATAGTTGACATACAGTATGTGTCTTAAAGTTGGTTTCATTATTATGTCTTTCCATTTACTGTACTGTAATAATACTTGTGTTTTTTCATGTCGTCAATACCTGAGAGATGAGGAGCTCATACAAGGAACAAGATATAAAATATGTGAATAAACAGATTGATAGTCAGGGAGTGAAACTGATACTGGGTAGTTTGGCTGCAGAGTGTATGTGAAAAACCAAACAAAAACACATGTACATATTTGTACAGCTTAGCTCCTAAGGCAAATGGAGAAATAAAAACATAATATACCTGTACAGTACTGTATCATTCAAGAGCACAGCCAGTCTGTGAATATAGTGATGTGATATAGATTGTAGATTACAGTACAGTACATGTTACGAGAGAAAGCATCTAAATTTATCACACGTTATGTGTGTATGTACTGTATATATACCCTTGTGAGCATCCCTGTCATGCTGATAGGTGAGAGGACTAAAGACAACTGAGTGTTAAGGACCCTACTGGAAATAAGAATCTGATGGCTATCCTTGGTCAAATTGCCTGACTGTCTACATTTGTTGTATGTCTGCACTGTCTGGTACATTGGAAACTGTTTACCCCCAAGGTCAATGTACAATATATACCTGTATTATCTGAACACCTGCTGAAATGTGTACCTGCATAGTTTATTTACATGCCAAAGCAATTGTAAACATGTAGGACGATAGAAAATACCGAGCTGTGGAAAAAGTAAAGACGCAAAAATAAAAAAGGAGACTTACGTTGCCGTAGTCGTGGCCGGGTCCTTACGTCTTTCTTTGTAATCCAGAATGTAGATAGTTGCCATAGCCATCAGACTGTTTATAGACAATTAGATAAGTAATAACCATGATAATGAAAACAAATAAGTAATTATAACTAAGTTCAATGATGTAATAAGTTAAAATATTATACTTTGTGCTTTAAGATTTACATGGTACTACTACTATAGCACATTCATAGAGAACAGAGTATATACAGTACAGTACAACCTACCAAAAGGCCATGATGCACACAAGGGTAATAGTGGTGACCTGAAGAGTCTTATTGTTGCATATACCATCGTCGTGTCCACTGCCCATGTGTTTATGACGCCTGGAACACCCACGACTTCGGTTGCACACTGATGATACTCGTGACGTTGCTTTAAACAAAAGTACAAAAATAGGAATTGGTTTTCTAATTTTGTTATGATTTATGGGTGAAATGGATCATAATGTAAACTGAATGGAGAGGTTGTTTTTCCCTGGTTGATAGATTAGATGGCCAGAGGTGACTGCACCATCAATGTAAGACTGTAGACCCCAAGTAAAATGCAAGTTATCTGTTCCTTTACCTGAGGTGCGTGTAGATACTGACGATGAGGTTGACTTGAAGGATTCAAATCTTCGTAGCTGTGATATTTTCTTATTCATTATCTCAAGTTCTCCAATGCGATTCTCCAAGTTGCCAGTGACTTTACAAAGTTCCTTCACTGCCCCTACATTCTCCATGAATATACGCTCCTAGAAAATACATAAATGAAAAGGTTTAATTCCAAATACACACCATCTAGCTTGTAATCAAGTTAATAAAGGAAATATTACTGTAATCATAAATAAATTTTAATAAACTGAGGTGTATGGCTAACTGTTACAATACCCAGTTCAAAAATGTGGCTCATATACCGTACAGGAAACTTAAATTAAACTGTCATACATTTTATTACCTTTCATTTAAATTGAAAAGCTGACAAATGGCCAAGAGAATAAAGTAAACTAAGTCGTATCTCTCTCACTCTATCACTCACATTTAACGTACCCATGACATCAACAATGAAAAGTATTAATGTCAACTAAAAACAAAGTAATAAGACACCTTTAACCTTATGTAGACTACTGTATAATGTAAAATATCATGGCATAGCTTATTAGATTATGATGACACTTACATTTTGTAAGTTGTGCGTAAGTTTTACGCGAAAGAATAGGGTATGTGGCATAAAAAGTTACCAAACATTATTATCATCTCAAATAAATTCCTCTTAGCAGAGTTAGCTAGTGTTAAAAATAACACAATTACTGGTACCCATAAGCAATCATGGTGCCAAGATAGACATCATGGGTGTGGATTACCAAAACCTCAGTCTTTTGGAGCAGTGCCATAATGAATATATGGTACATTCTACATACAACTAAATACTCTGTACTGGGTATCAGAATTGTCAGAAGTGAATGAGTAAGGAGCTCTCCCAAGTGAATTTTATTTCAGAGCTAATTAAAAATGAAAAAGTACTGTACCTTGTTCACCAAGAGAAAACTTTCAATTTTTTCTCCATTTGAAAGTGTGACATCACCCGTTGTTTTAACTGCATCTGGTATGACTTCTTTCACCTAAAAAGTAAATAAAAACATGGTATTGTATGCATAAAATATTACTTTTTATCAACTTGACCCCACCACTACTAAATGGGATGAAATTTAGTATAAATTTTCAATATAAACTAAAAAATTGGGTAATACAGTACCTGGAGATTCATCATTCCTTTAATGTCATTCACTCTTTAACATTTGTTATTCCCCTGCTACAACATTGTTCTAAGATTTAATTGCTTGGTTTACCTACTATGCTTCATGAAGCCCCACGTTACCTGAAAATAACATTCCCATCTCCACGAAACACCAAAAATCATGATCCCCAATCATACAGTACATGCACATTGTTGCTTCCTCGGCATTATTCCCTTTCGTATTCAGTAGCCCCCTTGTCCCAACCCTCCATTGTTATTTTGATCTTCCCCTCTCCTCCACAATCCATTTCTGAATTAAACACTGATTTCTACTGTATCAATTTTACATAAATCATTCTCTACATCTCCTTACCCCTATAATAACCCTTGATCAGCTATCAATCTGATTTTACTTGCATTTCCTTCGTTGCTTCTTAATGTGTTTTGTATTCTGCATCTTGTTCACCTCAAGGATTGCTCCCACACACATTACTCCCAGCATTTCTAGTGTACTTCTTCTTCTGGTATCCAAACCACTATCTCCATAAGTTTTTCAGTGTACCTTTTTATTTTCTTTCTAACTACTTTAGGAATCAATTCACCATTGTTCCATTTGTTGACACATCCAGCCCCCATATACAGTATGGAGGATTAAACACCCCACTGTCTCCTTTCAAGTTTAATGTTGAGGCATTCCTTATCCTCCTAAAAAAAATCCAAGATAACTGAAAAAACTACAAAATATATGAATAATTGCCATGCATCAGTTATATTGTATGTTTAATCTAAACAAAGAAGGATGACTAACCTCTTGAGCTATAACGCCAGTGTCGTACACATCGTCACCTTTCATGCCAGCCTGTTCAGCGAACTCTTTCCTATAAGCATACTTCACTACCCGCAGATTTTGCACATTCTTCAGCTGCTCTTTAGTGTCCATCTGAGAGATAAAGGACAGTTAGTTAAATTATATTGCATCCTCCTCCATCCAAGTTTGTTCAACTCTCTTACCAACCCAACTCTTCATTAACTCAAATATAAAACGATACAGTACTGTTGTCCAGCAAACTAAAAACAAATTTATATGTGAATAACCCTATATCCTTATTTACTAATTTATTTGCACTCTTTAACTCCGAAATTAGGTACTAAAGACTCACCTCAGCCACATCCTTCTTAGCACGTTTATCAGAAGGCTGAAGCAACTGGCCTGTGATCTTGAGGTTACCGTGGATCACCAGCGCCTCATCTGGTCGGTCAGTGTTAATGCCCACACGACCCATATGGTAGATAGACTCAGGGTATGTTCCTCGTTGAAACGTGTATTCAACATCACTTTCAAACTGACCTGGATTTGATGCCTGAGAAAAACAAAATGGGTATGATATATATATATATATATATATATATATATATATATATATATATATATATATATATATATATATATATATATATATATATATATATATATATATATATATATATATATATATATATATAGTGTGAGGAAAGTTGGTGTCTGGTAAACAGTCACAGGGGAAAAAGTTACAGAAAAGGTCAAGTCATAAGGTGAGACTGGTTGGTACTGTACAGAGCAAATTAAAAGTTAAAATGTACTACTGCAATTAGTATGATTTGCAATTTGAGTTAAAATTACTGTTTTGGCACCAACTAGGGAAACATTGAGCTCCTAAACCACCCCCAGTGAGGTTTAGTGCGTCCAACATATTAGATCGAGATATTTAACATGTCTATGTTCACTGAATTGTAAAAATATGCATTATATTAATCAAAGCATATAGATGGGGTATATGCTGCATCAGAGGTTAATGACAGGTACAGCGAGGCGCATGGCCACGGGGGTGATGGGGGAAGAGAGGGTCATGACGCAAGTGAGGGTAGAACAATGTTATCATGCATAGCGCCACATCATAATGTCTAATAATTCAAGTCTAACCCATATTTTTTATCCCTGTGTGCGTGTGTCTGTCCTTATTTGCCTGGAAGCATGTGTATATGTTTATGCATGTGCGTGAAGCCTTCGTGTGTGTGTCACCAAATTAACTTCAACGTATTTAACTATTATTCTACCTAAGTAAAACAAACTACAGTTAACCTCACTATGCACCACTAGGCATTATAAATAACAGTACCTTTGAGGACTTCTCCACCCTACAAGTACAGAATGAAATTATCTGGAAACAATCAGCATAAATATAAAAAAAAAATGGCGAAGCAAAACATCCCTGTATATTACGTCTCAATATATAAATGCAATTGTGATAACCTATTATGTACTAAGACAAGAAATAATATATTAAAAAAAACCTAATCTTTACACGTGAAAACTGATACTGCGCAATCAATTCATTCCTAGAATATGGGCGTGTTCTGGGGGTGATAGGCGGGCGAAGACGGTTGAATACGGTATACTGTAATGATGTAATCTATGTCCACGCATTCTTATTTTATTTGTTTAACAATATCACAGACACTGTTCACATTTGTAGTGCAAATTTTCGTCTTGGAACAATCTTTGTGGTGTAATATTTCGCAAATAAAGATTGGAGGATGTCCCGAGTTATGAACCAGAAGTAATTTTCTGGTATCACGCGGGAAACATGGAAACAAATAGAGTACCGCACTAATGTATACAGATATCTTGGTTAACATTAGGGAAAATTAAATATATATGAAAACATGACTCTTAATATGACCATTTTTTTCACAGGATGGCCATACGGGAATAGGCAGCTAACCTTTGCAAAAAATATATATATACTGTACTGTATATTATATACACGTCACGAAGCCTATCAAAACCTTGTTGATTATGACGTCAAATGTAGCAGTTGATTGTAAATAATAAGTGTAGTAATACAATATAATATCAAGAGCAACAACAGGTCGATGACACATGATACTCTACATTCCTCAACTGCACAATGACTATCTCAACGAACTAGAAGGCTCCTTCGACTGCCCTGAGCGCACAAAAATACTAAATAAACAACAATTTAGCATGGAGCAATTTAAGCATTACTAAGCAACCTTCATCTCTATTTATGAAAAAGAAAACAAAAAGCGAGAATCTGAGTCTTACAGCACCTTCAAGAACGGACTTACCCTGACGATGATCTTCTCGGAGGCATGGGCGGCGATGTGGTACGAGTTGTCGCCACAGTGGGCCTTTAGGGACACCACCAGATAGAAGTAGCGCTGGTCGGGGTTGGGTTTGCCCTTCTTACGCATATTGTTGCTGGTGGTCTCCGAGAAGTGCAGGCGACCCACCGTGATCTTACTCATCTGGTCCGGCTTCAGTTCCACGCTGTCACCAGGAGGGAAAGTATACACTATATGGTAGAGGCACGGTACTGGTCACAGTGCATTATGGGGCAGAGGTGCAAATATTGGGAAAAGTGCATCTGAAGAATGTCGACAGACCAAAGATACGTATCTGACACACACACACACACAGTGATTCAGTGTGGATATTGTGTATACACGATACAGTACACAAAAAATTCTGAAGCAGCAGTACTTACGGGACGGGGTGGAAGGCCTTCTTGCTCCTGTCACTCTGGCTCTGCTCGACACGGATTACCTGCGACGGCGACTCAGTCTTGACGCCGAAGAAGTGGACATAGAAGCGATCAACCTTTTGTAAGCCGTCCGGGCTCTTTACGAACACGGGCTCGCCAGACGCCTAGATCAGGGAACAAACACAACAGCTGTGTATTGACCAAAAGTAGAAAGAGCTGCTTAAAATAAAAACCGTTTAAGACTTCACATGTAAATCTTGAGCTAAATGATGTCTGTTGCCCTACGATGGATCCCTCTTCTACACATCACTTACCATAGTGTAGGAATCACTTTACCTACTTTACAGGTGAGGAATAAAACTATATAACTGTTATTGGTGGTTTCTCATGTACTAACCTGGACGTGGACAGTGACCTGAAAGTGGTTCTTCTTCTGGCACACAAAAGACTCGTCTGGGTTGGAGAAGTTGAAGCCTTTGTCAGCGTCCACACGGAAAGTCGGCAGTGGGCTGTGTCAAGGAAACGTTCATCATTAATCAGATTATACATTTAAGAAAGGTACTTATATTATCATCATTACCGATTTCTAGAAAGCTACCAAACAGTATATAAAATGCACACAATATGTACTCACATCGTTAAATGTCTACCTTACAGTACTGCGTCCTAAACACGACTGTGAACTGGGAAGCTACAAATGTAAAATGTCCACTGTAATAAGCATATTAAAGTACTTTTTTACATTTTCAAAAAAAGAAGTGAGCATAAGCTTGACAGTGACGGTATGAGATACAATTTTCAGCAAAGGTTACTCACAGTTCTTTCAGAGCAGAGTCACACAAGATGCTCCAAGAGTGCTGCTGGAAATTGTGGAAGCGGATACACTGGTAGGAACTGTCGAGGAAGGAGCCGCCGGTCGAGTCCATAGTATACTCATCCTCCTCTGTGTATGACGTCACCGCCACATTAGGGCCCAAGTGGCTCGTTACACCTTGATCTGTGGGGCACAATAGCAGATATCACATAATGAATATGTGGGACACAGCAGAGATGGCGCAGTGAAGACAATAAATGCAGCGTTGAAATATAGCAAACAAATGCAGCTTCAAATATAGCAACCTTGCAACAAATCAAGCAACACCATTCAGTGTGAATAAAGTTTCCCTTTTATGTGCGACACAAAAGCTTCAAGATTCGGCTGGTTATATACTAAACGACAGTCAAACTAGCCTTAGTTCACCTATCTTGTTTATTTTGTGAACGATATCCAACAGACACAATTCAGTTACTTAACATGACAGTAGCGTATCCAGTTCCAAAAACAGAGATGTCTATAACTAAAAAATAGCAACATCCAGTCAATCACCTATTTTTCATTATGCTAATACATGGCGTTCAACATTACCCATCGCAACATTACTCGTCAGATTATATTGGTAATTTGGTACGTCTCAGAATAGAAACATTCGTCACTGGATTATACAAATATGTCCATGGGTAAACCCTCACCCATTACAGAGGTGTACAGTACAAATACGCCATGTCAGTTCATTTGGCTCTGCCGCTATGTTTCATAATGGAAAGCAAGAGTGTCCTGCATAATGAATAACTCCTAACCTCGTACCACAGTAGATAATAACCACACAGATACTGGCCAGGCAGCCAATTAAGAGATAAGTAGTATTCTTAGAGGGCTAATATGGTGTCGCATGACGAGTGCGAGTTACCGTGACGAGCGGTTAACAGCCAGGCGATCTTGCGGCGGGCGCTCAACTAACCAGAGCTCGTGAGGCGGCCAACCCAAAACCTGTCTAATCAACGCTGACAATCCACAAAGCTAAGTGCCACAATTATCTCAGGTAATCACACGCCGTATCCTAAAGTACTGTCAGTAGATCAAGGGTAAAACCGGGAACACGAGTTACACAATATTGTCGGTCGAGGATTTATAATGAAAGAGAAGCCAAGTAAGACATCACAGCGCCAGGCAGCACGCACGAAGCATGTCTGACGGGCCCTTAGCGGTAAATTTATGACACAGCTGGAAAAGCTAAATATAGCAGGCATGTGCGGTCTTCCTAGAACAAATACTGCGATATTATGGGTAATTTGGTTATCAATAATGGACTTACGTTAGAAACACATATTTACTTTGGAAATTTATTGCTACAGATGGACTGGGTGAGACAGGGGTATATAGAATGATTGACAGCGAGAAAGTCTTGGCGTGTAATTAAGGGATAAGTCTGGTGTGTAGTCAATCAATTTGAGCTTAAATATACAGCTTGATTAAACAACGGCGACTTTAATCAAGGAAATAGTGAATATAAGAATGGCAATTGTGTAAATGATAATTAAACAAAACAAATGGTGGCTTAGGAGTGAGATTCTTAAAACTAAATTTGTAGTTGGAGAGAAGCCTGTATTGCCAAGCATTATTTAGACATAAACAAGTACACTGCAAATTGATGGAAAACACATTAATTAACTCGTCCGAAAAACTGTATGAATCTTTAAAATGTGCACTGTACTAGCTTTAGATCTGAAGATGAATGGATGTACAGCAATCGAAACGTTATGAAACCATGATCAACATCACGGATATTTCATCATTCCATTGGTCTTTCCATATGAATAAATTTCAATCATATCATCAACAATATCTAAAATCACGACTCATACGAAGCATTTCCCCGTAAATAGTGGTGACAGCCTACTGGCGTCAGATGATTTTCACATTTAGAGGGTGAAGGTGATGAATATACTAAAAAAAATTATAAAACCGCCAGAGAGAATAAGGAAGAGACTACAGAATTCATATTGTAGTGAGTGCTGACCTGGCTCCTGCTTTATGTTGACCATGCCGGCGAGGCCACCCGAGTCATTCATCTTCCTCTTCTTGGCGGCGGCCACACTGCCCGCCCCGCCACCACCACCCGAGGCTGGCCCCTGACTCACCACGCCCTGTGTCCCATACACTGGCGACCCCGTGGATGCCAGTCCTGTACCAGGCACCGACGACCCGCTAAGAGGTGACCCTCCTAGCATGAGAGGCTGTTGGTAGCCGAGACTATTGTTACCCTGAAGGGGGGCGTGACCAGTGTTGTGGGAGGGGTTGGGTTGGTGGGGGAGGGTCTGGGGTGCTTGCATCACTGGATAAGGGAAGGCCATCATACCGCCACTGCCGCCCCCAGGGGGACTTGTGTACATGTCCGCCATACCACCAACTTTTTGGTCTGTAAACACGAAGGGGGGAGGGGGGAAATATGTACTTTAGTAATCATGAAAATGACTCTGAATATTTGTCATTCTTCATTGAACTAATTCTTAGTTATGGAGTGTAGTGACATGAAAACTGACCTTGGATGATTGCCAACTTACCGTAAACTAAGGCTGACGTATTGTATCTTATTCATGACAAAATTGACTAACCAGATCATTACTGTAAAACAAAAGACTGGAGGCGACATGTGTAGTCGGTTACATAATAGTGACAACTATAGACGTGTGTTAGTACTCACGTGGGGAGAGGTTGGGGTGGTCCGGGGGGGAGTAAGGAGGCTCTGACCCCGAGTCTGGAGGGCTGTCTGGTAGATGGTGTCTGTGTGCACACAATCAACACACTTATACTCCAAAACCACAAACTCGGCTTCACAAACCACCAGATTCAATAACCCCATGAGTATAAGTTCAACGTAATCAAGGGTATGTAATCATATTGAAAGAGATAAGACATCGTACTAAAAAAATTAAAGTTACTCAAGGGATCAAATGATTGTACTCATTTCAGATATTAATAAATTAAATAATTCAGAGTACTCAGGAGGTTAACATGGCATTAAAAGGGGTTCAATGACAGTTCTTTATCTACCCGGACAACTATTAACTATTTACAGCGACTGAGTCTAGTCCAAGTCTTTGCTCAACACACCGTACATGTTATACCTCCCTCACTAACTTGTAATAATATACTTTATACCAATTACTCCAACACAAATACCTTATCTTACATATCCTAACATCAACAGGGTACAAAACAAAAATAATAATTACCAAGAAACTAACCCATAAACATTCATTCTAAAATCAAGAAATTAATGTTTAATAAAATAGTATAACACACGTATACTCTTGGTCTCCTTTATGTATTATACCTTTTATATGTTTAATTAAAGACCCAACCACAAAATAAAAGCCATTCAGATGCATTACTTCAAAAGCCATTCCTTATAGTCACCCAATATTAAGTAACAGTAAAAAAAAAAAAAACTAGCCTGCAGCACCCACCGATAACCCTTGTAGGCGGAGGAAGAGGAGGAGTAGTAATAGCTGTGATAAGGATTGCAGTAGCCAATAGGTAGGGATACACCACCCCCTACTGCCTGTGGTGGGTGCCGGATCCCACCAGTGTCACTACTGGTGGGGAGGTAACCACTCATGCTGGCGGAGGAGGTATCACTAGAACTGAGGTCAGGGTGAGTCACGCTGTGCTGGGAGTGGGCTTGGCTGTGGTGAGAGTTTAGAGATAGTGAGCGAGAAGAGACCTCAACGCACCTCTAACATCTACTCAAGACTAAAAACCGATACAAGCAGAAGAAATCTTACTTAAAATGAGATGTTTAGGGGGACGTGTGGGCCAGTCTACTCCCTTTATATGCTTTAAAGTGAAAGATATTTAAAAGACACTGAGAGAAATCACTAAGACTTCTACTACTAAGAAACGTAATTTTAAAAACAAATCTATTTAGAACAAAAATATTGTAAAAAAAAAGAAAAACATCCTGAAGAGACATGCAGGAAGAAACTACAATTTTATCTAATACAACTATATTATTACTACAACAACAACATTTTACACTACTCTAAAAACATGCGGGTATGCTACTTCTTATCAGTAATACCAACACCATTGTAAAAATAATAATAATAAACATGTTAATAAATCTACTGAAGAACAATATATCAGCAACGTTTGGTGTTTAATCAGTGGACAGAAACTGGAGTCACCTTATGGAAACTGGACAAACTGACAGATAAAAAAAATATCTAGATAAGATGATAAATTATATAAATACATCAACATATACACTACAACAGGTTATACAACTTTCTTAACACTGCAACAACTGGAGGAGGAGAGGGGGTCGTGTTGCCTAATTTACACTTTATTGAACTTGTGTTACGTCACGGCACTTCATCTCTCCATTTTCCGTACACTGATGAAAGGTTTTGTTGTGTGTGTGCATTTTATAATAGTCCATGCTTTTGTAATCTTAGTAAAGTAGGATTTTTTTTTAAGAAACCTGAATAGCGTTTAAGAGGTTAAGTGATAGTGAAAAAGCTTACTGATGGTGAAGGTTGGAGTGGTGATGGTGATGGTGGAGACGGGAGGGGGAGTCTCTTGGGGTAGCGTTGCCCAATGCCTTGATGTCGGCCATGCCTCCCTGCAAGTCTCCAAAATACCTACGGGAGGGACGATGGGGCCTGGTCATCATCCATCACCCTGTTTGTTGACACTCACTCACAGTCACTCACCCAGTCGCTCACTCACTCACCTGACTGGCCATCTCGGTGTTTGATTCCGTCAGGTCTTTATATTTTTGAATCGGCGAAGACTAGGAATCAATCAATCTCTCTCTCTCTCTCTCTCTCTCTCTCTCTCTCTCTGTACAGTATCTATACCTCAGTATCTTCTTTTATAACTCAAACTATAGAGTATATACTGAACATTCATCATCGCAGTCACCACTATCCTTAGATGAATCAACTCATTGTTTACCATTGTATACCTTCATTGTCAGAGTAGGTTACTGAATTAATGTTAGTTTTGTATTATGATTAAACTGAATAACTATCGATACTGTATACCTATAAACCATTACTGCCACGCAAACCACTACAGGAGGAACAGGTTTGGTCCTACCCGTTACTCACTTACGGTACAGTACTCACATAGTATCATTGTTGTCGTCATTGATGTAGCTCTCCAGCTGACTTATATCCAGCCCATCGTTGTCTATGCCGCCCTCCCAGTCACGCTCTGTAGAGATGAAAACAAAATATAATGAAACAAAACTAATAATTATATTAAGTACACCAAAAAACTAAAACAATAATACAGTAGTTCTAAAAATATAAATTAGGTTTACGTTTACCTGTATGTGTGAAAAGAAACGTCTCTCCCGCTCCATATACAGTACAGGAAAATCAATACTGTACGGGAAAGTCCTACTCTTAATGTAAGTCCATTTTCTCTGGTAAAACGTTATTGATATATGTTTATGGCGATCATACAGTATCATAGTGATTATGATGATTAGGTCAAATGCTAACTTGAATTTTCATTGGTTTTACTATGAGACAACTGCAGTGTCTACATCTTTACCTACGAGAAGAGGAGATATAAATGCGTTGTAGAAAGTTGATCACTGGAAACATCTTAAAAACTACATGTTTCCTTGATACGAGAAACTAGACGTCGACCAGACAAAATGCACGAAAATTGCATGACTAGTTGAAAAAAATCATTATAAATGTCATTAATAATAAGAAACAATAGTCCAAAGCGTTAAAAAAATAAAAGTATTTGTATTTCCGTTGAGTTAGGTAAGAACGGTCATGGTCCCAGATCATTAAGCGAGTCACAGGAGCGTTCCGAGGAACCAAATCATAAGGTCTCGCGCTTTTATCTTGTTCTTCAGTACAATTAAAACGACAGTCTAAATCGGACATATTATCAAATGAATAAACACGAGACCTTGAACTAAAGATTTAAAGAGTACTGTAACGCCACAGTGAAAAACTACACACAGACTGCTCCCCGTACTTAACTTTGCTCAAGGGAAAACATTCCCCATAATTTATTCCTGAACAACACTTAAAATAATTCTACCGGAAAATAAATACGGAAAAGTACAGTGTACGTTAATAATAATGTAGTGTATATTCTTCTGAACACAGTATACGAGGTGTAGATTTCCTGAGTCTTAACATTCAGCAACTTCTTTAATACAGGATGTTGCTCCACTCAAAAGTTTGTTCCACCATCAACAAGCGAACTCCACAGTGTACTAATATGCCATAAAGTACACAAGGGTTAACGTAACGAGGAACCCAATCTACCCCTCCAGTCGGGAATCGAGGCGAACACTACTACCGAGAGAACCACTGTCCATCATAAGCTGTTACCATAGTGACCGCTTCTGACTGACCCATACGTGGACAACGATACAATTCAGTCAAGAGTTGTGCGAGTTACGAACAAGCAAACATGGCTGAATCTAACTGTCCTGATGTGAGCTTCAACAACTATTAAAAGTGAGGCTACTGAGGGGCTTAAAAGTGTGGCTGACTCGTGGTGATGAATGACCCGGTAAGTCACGCCCGCTGCTGTCGAGAACGAAATCATGTTACTCTACGGTCTTACGCCGAACATGATGGCGTTTTGACAAGTTACTGTCGTTGCCAGTGATTCAGTTGATGGCGATTCTCTTGTTGCTAACCTGATTCCTCTGCCACAGGTAATATTTATTTGCTGTACAAAACCCCTTAGAATCTCTTATCTTCAAAATAAAGGAGTTAAAATTACCAGTCTCTTCTCTTAATAACCTACCTACACCATCCCTTACGTGCGAAAAATGTTCTCGTGTCCAAAAGGTAAACAATAAAATCAGTCATAATGGTCTGTGCATATGTACTGATGTAAGTGGTCCCAATGCAGGAAGGTTAGTTTGTTGTTGTGTTATCTTACAGTATCTGCTGTGAGGTGATATCTTATCTCAATGTTTACGTGGAGCGCGGGGGAGAAAAGTGTTAACTGGTAGGAGTCATTAAAGGTACACGTAGTATTGTTCAAGATAGGGATAACAGCTTAATCGTATGGTAGTGGTTAAGTCCGTTTAATGCCATAACAAAGATCTACAGCGAACTGTACATTTCCTGACACAATGGTTCCTAAAAATCGATTGCTCAACAATTTTACCAAATATTTGTGAGTTTAAAGAAGACATTTACTAATGAAACAAATTAAAGTAACTAGAAAGGCTGCCTCGTGGCTTTTATATGTTCGAATAATATCCACAAACCTCAGCATTTTACTGTAAGTATTCGAGATAACACTGGTGCTTGCTATCTATTAAGTTTACACATTAAGTCTTACAAACAGCAGCGGCAGGAAAGAAGTTTTAAACAAGTTATAGATTGAGGACTCCGAGACAGTTCTCGTAACCTTTAACCAATATATAAGTCAAGGAAGACTATCAGGCTTATGACCGACTAGTATTTGTACCACTGCTGAATCCTGCACGTGTACCACTGTTCAATACTGTACACTTTGCTCACACATACACACAGCTGTTCCTCTTGTGATCTCATAGTACAAGAGAGATTTCCTAACACATTTCAACATACACTTTATGTTAAGAATAAAGAAAACTAAATATCTAGCAAAAGGTCGTTGCCAAGAAAACGTCCAAAATATAAACTAGTAGAACAGTTTTGATCCAGAAAATGCCATCTTAAGAAAAGCTTTTTAAACTTTCATTATTCTTTTCTTTTTCTTTAAGAGGATCAAGACAATCTGATAAGTCTTTCACCCACGTGGTCGCTTACATGTATCTGATACGCTTGGCCGTTGATGCAAGTCTTTGCTAAGATAATTTACACTAACAAACTGTCCATTTACAAATTTAACTCGTCATCAGTGTAAACGCTATCTTGAGCTCACTCAGGTTTTAAGAGACAACACGCCCCCGTCCAGTGGCGGATTCTTATTGCCGTTAACACTTCTCCATAGTTTTACTTTTAAAGATCCATTATGCTTGGCTGTTAACAATTAACAGAATGTAATCCTAATAAGACCAGAGCCAACCAAGGCTGAAAATTACAAACACCTGGACCACAGGCTCCTAGAATTAGGAAACGCACCTGTAGCAACAATCGGATCAGAAACCGTTTCGGATGGACGTGAAGCGTTTCACACTCACGGCGGCGGGAAACAAAGGCAGGGATCACTTTCTCCCGACAACTTACGGTGCTGTACTTCACGGATCAACAACTGATTTTTTTTTTGCCGAATCGGAGAAAAGGGGACGTACTGCATACGATAGGGAATTTAAAAAAAAAAGGAAAAAATGAGTGAACTGCAGGTAGAAAGGACCAAAAAAATCCTGAAATGTGAGATAGCTTAACCTATCCTTACTAAGATATTCTTACTTGAATAATATAATACAAGCATATGATACGTACAGTACATAGCCTAGCCTAGGCTACACAAGTCTTGCCCAACAATGCGGAAAAAAGTCGTTCCCTAAGCATATGAATTTAAATGTTAAGGTTCAGTTACGTTAGGTTTAAGTTCACTCAGAACATTTATACATCGTTAGATTTACAACTTACATATTTATAAAGCTTAATATACACATTAAGTTAGCCATAACAGAGACCATGTCAACTTATCAGGTAACTATATTATTTTTTTCTAGTTTAGTGATACATGTATGTATATGTATGTATAATTTTATGCATTCTTTAAATAGGTCTCCTGTGATAATGATCTGAAGAGGAAAATATATACAATAATGAAAAAATAAAGTCATGCGTTTTAAGTTATTGAAGAAATTAGATAAAGATAAATGAGAAGAACGTGATAATGCAGAATAAATGAAAGAAAATGAGAACACACGAGAACATGATAGGCAGAACACAAGACTATGATAGTATACAATAAGGGAAGAACATGACAGTACATAAACAGGAAAGAACACGACAGTACATAAACAGGAAAGAACATGACAGTACATAACAGCTGAAAGGACTTTTATTAAACCACATTTAGTATTCATAAATTTTGCCTTTTTTGTCGACCCGAAAATAAAATGAACCAAAACTAACAACTAAATCGTAATCTTCCACGCTTTTAAGTCTTGTGTAACCAAACATGAAGAAACAATAATATATAAACACATTTTTTCCCTTTCAATAGATAAGGACTAAAGGAACACGAAAACTAATTAACTTCACGAGATGTTAAAAGAAGAAAATTAGGAAAATAACAGTGTGCAGGAAAGTCACAATCCGACTTCACGTTTCACGAACCAATGACGCCGCCGCCACCTCCTCCATAACAATAGAAATTAATGGTTAAAAAAAATGCTGAGGAAAAACAGCATTCAATAAGTTCCACTTAATAAATAAGAGAAATCAGTAAATAATATGAGGAGAACTGTTACAAAAAGATATCGGGAGTGATGAAAAGTGACGTTTATTACTTGGTGAGTGAGGTTTTAGCATTAGCGGGAGATTAAATACAAACGGTAATAATAAGTAACTGTACTCAACCTTATAATGGATTCATTCCCTTATTTTCGTATTTATTGAAGTCGAAGTACAACCGGATGCTGCTAATTAGAAAGACTTCTCAAGGTATAAATTTCATTTTAAATAATCTGGAATTTATTATTTTTAATATGGCCTGTTTCCATAATGCCGCGAGTCAGTTAAGACCCTCTCTCCACCCAACATCAATAACTATCCCTAAGCAACACAAATGACCTTCAAAACGTTCATTCTTCCTTATAACTCTAGATTCCCTCAAACACAAACACTAGAGCGACTTTCCTTAACTCCCTCCCACGAGTCAATAAAACATTTCCTGTATCACTAGGCATGAATGACGCGGCAAGTCCATCCTGGTGCGTGGGTCAAGAGGAGCCATTAACGAGTACACACCGACGACGTCCCACGCTGGCCACGATTTCCGCCCTCCCATTATTATTAACCAGCTACTGTACTCTTGTTTCTACTTCCTGGAACACCATTCTCAGCCCCTGTTGCTGCTCAGGGTACCTAACCAAACCTAATCTTTTAAATCCTAACCTAACTTGAACATCACCATACCTGCCAATACCTTATAGAACTTAACAAAGGACTCCACTTGAAGTGTGGGAATCATGTGTAAAAGGTTACTCTAGTTAGCATTAAAACTTGTGTTAAATATATATATATTTTTTTAGGGTATAGTTTGTGGTGCTGAAAGGTGAC